TTTGTTCAATCCGCTAAGGGCTCTTTCTCCCTTACAGTCTTTTGTGATGCTGATTGGGAAAGTGACCTGATGAAGAAGATCAACCTCTGGTGCTTGTATCTTCCTTGGTCCAAATTTGATAGCTTGGTGGTTGAAAAAGCAGTCCCTTGTGGCCAGGTCTACTGCTGAAGCAGAATACAGAAGTATGGCTCTGGTTTGTGTTGAAATATTGTGGATTAAGTCTCTCTTTCATGAGTTGCAACTGCCTCTATCAGTTCCACAAATCCTGTGTGACAACCTCAGTGCAGTTGCTATAGTTCACAATCCTATCTTACATGCTCGAACCAAGCATCTTGAGTTAGACTTGCATTTTCTTCAAGAAAAGGTTGTTGCCAAGGACATCCAGGTCTCTCATATTCCTGCAGTGGACCAGATGGCTGACACCTTTACAAAACCATTGTCTCTTGCTTCATTTGCTGATTTCAGAACCAAGCTCAGAGTTTTGGACTCAGTTATTCCTCTCCAACCTTGCTGAGCTTGAGGGGAAGTATTAGCGTAGCTAGCTTATGTAGTAGCTTATTTTCTTTGTACCATTCAGAACCAAGCTCAGAGTTTTGGACTCAGTTATTCCTCTCCAACCCTGCTGAGCTTGAGGGGAAGTATTAGCGTAGCTAGCTTATGTAGTAGCTTATTTTCTTTGTACCATTCATCCACGTGGGCACCGGGGCTGTGAAGCGTGGTGAAATGTTATGACCCATTTGCAAGGTATGGAACTTGGAGTCCCACATTGGTTGTATGGGCAACTAATGTGGGGTTTATAAAGCCTTTGGCACTCCCTCCCTTAAAGCTAGCTTTTGAGGTGATGCATCCCAAGGTTCTTATAAGACACCTTTCTGCTTTCTAGTATGTGCAGTTTTCTTACACTGTTAAGTTGAAGTTCCATTTAGATATTCCTTTTGTGATTTTCCTTAATCTCATGTACACCTTTTTGACATAATTCTCATCAATATAAATTCTAATAACAATAAAAAAAATGAAGGGGAGCATTGGCACAATGGTTAGTGTTGTTGTCATGTCACCCGAAGTTCACAGGTCCGATTTATGTAATCGGTCTCTTGCCACGCTGCCTGCTATAGATCCTCCCAACGGGAGCTTTATAGTTTATAGCACCAGGGTGCCCTTGAATAGAAAAAAAAATAAAAAATAAAATGAAAATGCCGCATAGTGAGATACACCACATGACCAACAAGCAATTTTCACTCATTAAGGAATATTTAGGAAGATTACTTGCAACGGAGAAGGCATACACAAGTAATGAGCACAAACACAGAAGAAATGCCACAAAGCACATACACATGGAACATTACTTAACCATCTAGTGAATGTTAAAATAGAATGAGAAATCAAACATTGACACTTTCTTAGCTAATGTGCCAAAAACAGCATATAAACACTAAATAATAACCAGATCAAAGGGATAATAGACATCAAATCTTCCAGCACAATAATTCCAGAAGTTTAGAGGACAATACTTACCCACAGTGGCAATCTTTACCACATACACTAGAGGATCCAGGTAATGGCGTACAGGAACAGAATATGCCATCATCCTCAAGCCGTCTCTTGACCCTTTTTGTCAGATATATATCTTGAATTTATAAGAACCAACAAAAGATTACTAAAACTAGAGGATCAAATACTACTGAACACATAACGAAACTGTTCACAACTGAAGATTGTAATTAGCTGGGCTGTCATAGACAACGACATACATAAGAATTAAGGAAATACTTAAAGAAATGATAATCTGAATAAGAAAAGTAGAAACAAAGTCTATACTATAGCAGAACATGTATAAGATATACCATCATAAACATTTTTGAGCAAAACATAAGAAGGATACTGCGTTTTATAGAGGTGTGAGGCCCCATTGGCTTCCACTTATATTAAACCAATTTGGAAGTTCAAAGTCAACAGGTTCCCCAATCTTCTTCACCAAATTGTTAAATACAAATCCTATCCGTATTTGCTCAGAATCCTGCAACAAAGAAAAAGCAAGGAACTCCGTCAACAGGCCAAATGGAAATTAAAAAATGGTAAATCTTATTGGCCACAGACCGATTGGCATCTTTATAAATGTAAAGAACCAATTCAACTCAAAAGCTTAAGCTTGTGGGTGAGGCTACATTAATGGTTTTTATATATCTCTAATGCCCCCTCACATGAGAGCTCACTGAGCTTGAAGGGTGGACAATGTACAGGCTCACCTACCTGTGTTAAGAAATTCCACAAGATAAAGTGGGAGGCGGTGAGGATCGAACCCATGATACCGAAGCTCTGATACCATGTAAAGAACCAATTTTACCCAAAAGCTTAAGCTTGTGGGTGAGGCTACATTAATGGTTTTTATATATCTCTAGCAATAAACATTGTAACAAAAGACTATTCTCACATATCCTTAATAAGGCAAAACTTATTATAAGAGAAAGAGATCTTATCAACCTGACTGGTTAATTAAAAAGGCCAACTAAATCTATAAAATCCAACTAAAAGAAAATCAAGTAGGAGGCCCCTCCAATAAATTTAGCAACACACAGTTCCCTCCAGCAAACAATGCTACAGTTCTCTAAACAAAACTATTTTCCCATGAGTGTCAGACTCAGTCAGGGTATGGAATTCTGTACCCAGGTCCAAGTTCTTAAAGAGACAGGCAAAGTCTCAGAAACTTCAGAGCAAATACTAATTTAGTTATCTCACTTTAAAGCTTAATTACGTCACCTTCCATTGGGATGGAAGAAAAAGAAAACAAGAGAGGAAAGAGAATATAATATGAATGAAAAGGTGAGGAAAAAAACACAAGATCATACTTCCCCCTTCATCCAAACAAGGGAAAATTTCAAAGCAAAACAACAACAGCCAAACTTCATCCCACTGGGTGGGTTAAGCTACATGGATCAAAAGATGCCATTGGGCTCTATGAAAAAACAAGTTTTCAGTAAAACCATTTTGATCAAGCTTTTTTTTATTGGTTTTTCAACAAAAAAATTCTTCAGCCTTCCTTTACCTTTTTAATCGATTTATCTTTGATTTAATCCACTTTTCTCATTGAAGCCTATGTTGGTGTTCTCTTTACATGACCAATCCACCTTATGGAAGTATATGACTTTATGTCATTCCCCCTTAGAGCTACTCCAACTTTTTCCCGAAAACATTAGTTCATGAGCTAAACTTTTCTTGTATGTCCACCAATTCACAACAAAATTTTCTTCTCAGCTACACCTATTTTGTTGCTCTTGTTGACACTTTAATGCCCAACATATACTACCATAGAGTATCGTTAGTAGAATTTTCCTTCGAGTTTGACAGGAATTTTCCAATCACAAATTATGCCTGAAGCAATTTTCCATTTCATTCAACAAGCTTGAATCCTATGCGTTACATTTCCTCAATATCCCTAAAATTCTCTAAGATAGATGCAAGATATCAAAGCCAAGCAATTTGCAATATAACGCAATCCTCAATTTGCACCTCCAAAACATTAACCGAAAATTGTCTTGCTAATCTTGCATTCCATATACTCTTACCGAAAATCATTTGATTCCAAAGCTTCTCTCCAAAACTCAATTTTACCATTTGACAAACCCCGAAAGAAAAAATTCAAATTTTTTTGTTTCCTCTTGTTTTCTATCTAACTCAATTCAAACAGAGAACGAGAAAACCAGTCTCAGAAGCTTAAATTATCAAAAGTACCCATACCATGTTCACCAAATAAATTTTTGGTGAAAACCCATACAAGTTTGTGCAGAGTGCTGGTGACTAAAAGTCAACAAAACTTCAGAAAAATAGAAAAAAGAAAAGCCAAACCCAGCCAATTAGGTACAACCCAGAAGAGAATCCACGCATAGAGAAAACCTTCAACGTCTAGAGTGGTAACAATGGTGACTGAAGAGGAAGAGTAACTGATCCCATTTTAATGCATTCGGGGTTTTGGAATCAAAGAAGCTACTTGAAATTTTAATTTTTTGGTAACGAGGAAAACGAATAATAATGTATTTTATATACCAAGAAAAAGTTATCCTTACCACTAATTAAATTTATTATTTCTTAGCACTAAATTTTGGGATAAGATATTGTAACAACTAATTAATATTAGTATTAATGTTACTACCAATCAATTTCACTGTTAGATCGATTATGTTGATCCAATGCTTATATTTATTTTCATCTTTGGATGGTTATGATTTTCCATATTTAACGTGAAAGCATTAAATATGAAAAATCATAACCATTCAAAAATAAAAAAAAAAATATATAATATTAAGTACGAGGAATCATAACTCTACAAAGATGGAAATAAATATAACAGTTAGATCAACATAATCGATTTAACAGTAAAATTAATTGGTAGTAACATTAGTAGTAACACTAATTGGTTATTACAATATCTTTTCCCCTAAATCTTTATCGTTAATTTTCGTTAATATGATGATTATAATTTATTCGATAATACTTCCTCGTTAATTAATTATTAATTCTCAATAAATTATAACCTAAGAGTGACAATGATTAAGATTTGGTGATAAGAAATAATAAACTTAATTGATTGTAAGTATAACTTTCTTTATATATATATATAGGGTTTAACATTTCTGCAACAGCAGTAGATAGTGTTATCTACAGCTGACACAGAAAAGTGGGCCCCACGACTTTAAAAAAAAAAACTCAGGATCCGTTGCCGTATCCTAGGATTCGGACGTGTATCTTTGCTTGCTGTAGGTACAGCAGCTGCAGAAATCATTTTACCATATATATGTGTGTGTGTGTGATTTAATATCTTTTATATTATAGAAGATAAAATTGTTTCTTACATACATGTAAAAGTTGGTAATCTCTATATTTTTTTTCTCTTATTTTCATATAACCTCATATGAACTTTACACACTTTTATATATATATATATATATATATATATATATATATATAATATAATTTTATCTCCTAATATGAGAAACATTAAATTCATATATATCCTTAGTTTTTTTAGATACAAACAGATAATCTAATATATCTTACCACTAATCATAGTGGGTTATGTATGCTTAGTTATCCTTGTCCGCTTATCATATTTGTTGGGCCGACAGCTCTTTGTTTCATTAAAATCAAGAACCCAAACGAAATAGTGAAGACTTAACCAAGCAATGGAAGTGACAAGTGCTGTTCATTCTGTTGGGTTTCTGCATTGGCATTCACACTCTTCACACGCTGAAAGGCTCAACAGTAGAGCTTTCTTCATCTCCACAAGAATCACAGGACGAAGGAAGGTTCCTCTTCTTTGTAATCATCATCCAAACCACTTAGTCAATGGTGGTAGTAGAAGTAACACAAGTGTCATCATCAATTCCACTTCTGCTACGACTGCTACTTCAACAACAACTTCTGGTGCTGATGGGGTGGTGGAAAAGATAAAGCAGAGGTGCCTTACATGGCAGTGGAAGGGTCAGTATTCCATCAACTACTTTGTTTCTTCTGATGCAGATTCACCTCAGCAGCTGCAGGCCAACCACCCTCCTTTGTTACTTGTCCATGGCTTTGGTGCTTCCATTCCTCACTGGCGCAGGTAAGTTTGCACTATAGCTATTGATATCTCTTCTTCTATTTGGTTTTTTCTCATCCACATATTTTTGTTTTTTAAGATATTATCATCTTTTTTTATCACTTTTATATGGTATATTGCAAGCCACATAAAAAGGGAGAAAGAAAAAGTAATATGTGCATAGTAAATAGGTAGGCATTGGATTATATCTTTTTCCCTGTAATTTTTACCTATAACATCAGTTTCTTACACAAATTATAATTTGTTCAAACTTAGAAGTTAATTATATTAGGAAATGCATCAGTGACTAAGTTTTTAGTTTTTAGTTAGAATTATCAATCACCCTTTTCCCAGCAATGGTGTGGAATCTCCTCCATGTGGTCAGGTTCCTCCTTTTTCCCATTCTGTTGAAAATCACCGACTCCATGCGTCTGCAAGGCAGAAAGAAAGGGTTTAGAAATAAAAAATAAAAAATCAGGCTCTAGCGTGACCACGTTAATGATTTCTCGGTCAATCAAGGTTTTTGAGCTTGCTTAAATTGCTTTTGGAAAAGAAAAGAAAATTAGGATACCCCTCATGATATTTAGATTCCAAACCTTGAATAGTAACAAGATTCATTAGAATCCAGATGGCAGAATGATGTTATTGATGTGAAGAAGCAGATGCATCTAACATTTGTCCTTCAATTGTTCTAGTATCTCCACTGTGCTCAATTAAACTATTATTGATGGATGCTGATGGAAAGCTTGTACTTTTAGTGATCTGACCATGTATTGAACTTTGGTGTTAACCCTTAAGCAAAGTCAAATTCCAATTAAATGAATATTCTGACTTGTTTGATGGGAGATTCTCAACAAGCATTTGGTTTAACTTGCAGTTTTTTTTTTTCTTAATTAAATGGGAAAAATGTTTGTCCTTTTAAAAGACATAGATCAAATCATTTTTTTGTTCATTTACTCTGAAACAAAGTAGCCATTGAATTGAACAATAAAGAAAGTATTTTTTGTGTTTTCTCTTTTATCAGGAATATCAAGACACTGGCCCAGAATTATACTGTTTATGTTATTGATCTTCTTGGTTTTGGGGCTTCGGATAAACCTCCAGGCTTTTCATATACCATGGAAACATGGGCTCAGGTATTTATTTGTTGAGTTTTTATTTGGACATTAACTCTCCAGCATTACAAACTTACTTTGTACCCGGTATTCACTAAACAGCTGATCCTTGATTTCTTGGATGAAGTTATTCAGAAACCAACTGTACTAATAGGAAACTCTGTTGGAAGTCTTGCTTGTCTCATTGCTGCTTCAGGTATGTTTGATACATCCCCAAGTAGCTGAAGATGTAATCTTACTATCGGTCAAACAGTTAAACATAGAGAGTTTGCATTGGAAACTTCTTTTTTGCCTTATATGAGAATTATAGTCTGCAATCAGATTCAAGTCAAACTCTTGTTAGAGGAATTGTGCTGTTAAATTGCGCTGGTGGCATGAACAACAAAGCAATTGTTGATGATTGGAGGATCAAGTTACTATTACCCTTTCTTTGGCTGTTTGATTTTTTATTGAAGCAAAAGGGAATTGCCTCAGCAATTTTTGAGCGTGTTAAGCAGAGGTATTCTCTCCAGGTTAGGCCATAATTTTCCTCAAATTTTTGAGTGGGAAACATAAAATTCTATTCCTTAAATGCAGAGAGAATTTGAGGAACATTTTGAGTTCAGTGTATGGAAACAAAGACTCTGTGGATGATGAACTGGTAGAGGTAATACTACATGGTTTACTTGTTTTCCTTTTAATCTCCTTTTCTTAAACAACATATACTTAGAATTGGCATTTTGATTCTGCATGTGTAGATCATTAGGGAACCAGCAAATGATCCAGGGGCCTTAGATGCATTTGTATCCATTGTAACGGGGCCACCGGGGCCTAATCCAGTGCAGTTGATGCCAAAAATTTCCTTGCCTGTTTTACTTTTATGGGGAGATCAAGACCCTTTTACTCCACTTGATGGACCTGTTGGCAAGTACTTTTCTTCATTGCCTTCTCAACAAGAAAATGTTAAACTCTTTGTACTTGAAGGGGTTGGACATTGTCCCCATGATGACAGGCCTGACTTAGTTCATGAAAGATTGCTTCCGTGGTTGGCCAGTCTTTCAAATTCATAACTGTGTGTGTAGTATTCACAAGCTGCAACCAGTTGCTAAAACCTCCTTTCATTGTTTATTTGGTGACTCCATCTTCTGGAATTGCCTACGTATATTCTATCCGTGTAGAATATGTTCATAATTTTATTTGCATTCATTTACACCATCAACTGTCTTGGAAGATAGATTATATTCAAAAACGCATGGAAGTTAGCCATTCTCGTGGTTACAATATTCTGTTTACCCTGATATGTATTTTTCTTTCTTTCTTCATCTTTGATCTTTGACACTACTGAGATTTGTGACTCCCTTTATACACAAAATTTACATCAATCACTTGTGCAGCAGTTGAACTTATTGAGTATTAACAAAACAATAGAACATGAAGGGGGGAAAATGACAAAGATCTGCAATATGAAATATTAACACAAACCTACTATTGCTCGACTGATATGTAATATGAAATATTAATATGTCAGTATTGTTGCTTTCTGCAAAGTCTAAGACATTGGAATAGATGGTATCCTTTACACTTTGCCAAGCAAAGGAAAAGAAAATCACCTAAATTATGATTAAAATTATAGTTATACATGCCATGGGAGATACGTTTTGCATTTGAAGTGGAACCATTTGTTTGGCGTTGAATGTCACAAATTTTAATGTTATAGTTGGCGTTGAACCAAATTAGAGTTGTACTCTAGTTTATCTTACGTGCTTCTTTGACCTTTCTTTGTCAATGAGAAATACTTGTCTGCTTCTCATTCTCCAACTGGTTCACAACTATTTTTTGTACTACTCGTTTCACTCATTAATACTTTGTTAGCTCTGATATAGATATTGATGACATAAAATTATAAAATAACAATAATGGCTTAGTATAACAAAATATAAGATGTAAAATAAATTATCGGCCATCAATAAGCCACTTTGCTCGCTTGCTACCTGGCAGAATTTAAGTTGGCCGATGAATATTTTTAAGATGTCTTTACTTTTTTAGACTCTTTATTTATTTTTTAATTATGTTCTTATTTTAAATTTATATTTATAAATTTCAACCTCTGTATTAATGATAAATAATTGAGCTCCCCCTCTCCTTCAAAATGTTAAAAATATAACCAAAAAATGGTAGAATCATGTGTGTTATTATGATTTGGTGCATCTAAATCTTTTTGGATGAAACTCACTTTTAATAATAATAATAATAATAATAATAATAATAATAAAAATACTCATTCTTGGATCTATTTTTTATTTTTTTTATTGCTTATCACATTTGTGTTTATCTAAATAATAGAAATTTTTTAAGTAATTTTAATTAGAAACATAACTTGGTTTTTTGACCCTTTTGCCCCTCATTAGTCGACTACATCCTCACCTTAATCGACTACATTTCGAGCACTTTTAATTTACTAAGGACATTATTTAATCGATTAAAAGTCGCAGATCCGATTTTTTAAAAACCTCCCCATTTCGCAAAGGGGGTTATTTTCAAACCCTAGTCGATTAAAAGGCTCCAAGAACCCCTCTCTTCAACCAAGTCCGAATCTCATCCCCTTGAAGGTTCGATTGCACCATCATTGGTTCACAACTTGCGAAATTGACATTGTAGGTAATGTTTTCTGACTTGCATTTGGTTTTAAGTTTTGTTTTTTTTTTTCTCCATGCTTTGGTTTACTGTTTTTTTTAAATTCTTGTTTATGGTAAAAGGTTGTTTGAGTTTTTGTGGCTTTATGTTAGGAGTAGGGTGTTGAGTTTGATGTGAGGGCTAGGGCTAGGGCTAGGGCTAGGGCTAGGGTTTATGTGTTAGGTTAGGGTTAGGGTTTTTGTTTTTTTGTTAGGGTTTAGGCTTAGGGGTTTTGTTCGTATGTTAGGGTTTAGGGGTGTGTTGGTTGTTTTACTTGTGGATTACTGTCGACAAATTCTTGAAATCTTATATCAAAATGAATCTTCGAACACATGTAACCTGCAAAAAATGAAGACAAATTGAATGAGTTATACATAAACAACATTACATACAACATGTGCACATTCAGGAAAATTGTATACCTAGTTTCATCAGCGTTTTCTTCAGTTCCACATCCTTAAACTTAGTGTTAAAGTTGCTTCCAATGTGACGAAGACAAAACACGTGATACGTAAATGGAGGCTGCCAACCGGCATGATCCTTCACAGCCCTGATGATGCTGGGGTGACGATCGGATATTAGACATAGACCATGGCTATGTGTGACATGGAAACGCATGAGGCTAAGAAACCACAACCAATCATCCAATCTCTCACCCGGTGGAACCATGGCAAACGCAATAGGCATAATGCATCCATCACCATCCTGTGACGTAGCAATCAAGAGGGTACCTTTGTATTTCCCGTACAGGTGTGTGCCATCAATTTGGATTATGGGTTTACAATATTTGAAAGCCTCAATGCACTGGTACAAATATAATGGATCCCCTAATTGCCAGCGACTGTGGAAGTCATCGTCGCCATACAATATCTCTGTCTCATCATTAGGGTGAGCCCAATTAATGAAGGAATAATGTGGGCTTTCGTTCCAAAACGGCTCAATCTCGGAACCTACGTCCAAATTACAAGAGTTATCTGTCAGTACGAATGATAACACAAATATGAAATATTCATTTAAAAACTTTAATTTACTATCTTACCACTGCTAACAGGGTCAACACAGAGTGGTGGCATAACCTGGAAACTCAGGTTTCCTGAACTTGTGTCAGCATCAAAATTCCCCTCTACGTCCGTATCTGAGGTGTCACCCAGCGGAATAACACTCTCGGGTTCATCGTCGTCTTCACTGTCCATATCCTCCTCATGCTCATGCTCATCCCCATCCTCGTCTATTTCCCTCAGTGTTATCTGACTTAAGACAGGTGTAGGTGCAGATAAACCGACCACTCTGTCTTCTTGACTTTGACTTCTTTCATGCATAGGTGCAGATGAAGATTGACCACAGTCTATTTCATCATATATCTCAATAAAGTTTTGAATTTTTCGGTCCACAATTGCATCTATGACACATTCCACATCTTCATCGTCACATATATCATTACCAATGTAGAATATAGCATCCTTACCAACTGTAGACTCTACCCTGACGATCATCCGTTGAACGCACTGGCTTCCTTGTAGCCTCAATTTTTGGTGAATCCTCATTTTCAGCTCATTGTACTTAGTGCCCCGTTTGATTTTCAACATTTTCGTTTTTCCTTCAAATTGAACACCATTGGGGCCTTCATAATGCTTTCCATCATAGTAGATCATTGTAACATACATGTTTGGGTTTGAGCTCATCTTTCACACGAATTTGAGGGTAGGAATCGGATTTTAGGGTTTTAGGTTCGGATTTGGGGGAATCAAATGATAAAATAAGGGGAATGACAATGATTTCACAATTACTATGATTTAGAGATGGTGGGATGAAATGGAATCTTATTGGCTGACAAACAAGAGATAGACAGGGTACAAAACGAAAATATTGCAAATGAGACCGAGAGAGGGCTGGATATAGGGTTTTCTGCGACTTTTAATCGACTAAATAATGTCCTTAGTCGATTAAAAGTGCTCGAAATGTAGTCGATCAAGGTGAGGATGTAGTCGACTAAATCTCGTGATTCATGTTTTCTGCATTTTGACCATTTAGTCGATTAAAAGTTCAAGTTGATCGACTAAATGGGAGCAGGATGGTGGATAGTTCTAGGGAGGGACAAATTGGTTATTAATTAATTAATAAGGGACAAAAAGGTCAAAAAACCAACATAACTTATGAAAGTTATTTTCAAAACAACTTATTTTTAGTGTGAGGTTTAAAGTAACTTTGATTTTTTATATAATTATTAAATAATTTTTTAATTTTATTTTAAAATTAGTTTAAAAAAAATATCAAGCAAACTCTTCAAATGACATGCCATAATTTCTTTCTCTTTTTGACTTCGGATGTTTTTTTTATCTGATTTTGGTTCTGATTGAATTTTCGGGCCTAACTGGGTCATTTTGGTTTATCATTGTTATATTAGAATATGCCAAGGGAAAAAAGAGAAAAATTCTAAAAATCATTTTAAAAGAATTAAAAAAAAAAAACTACACAAAAAGCCATACAAAGTATGATGGTGTAATAGTGCCCAAAATTCGCCAAAAAGAGCTATAGTGCGAAAAAAGTATCATGATGACACGACACATGAAGCCTCTGGAACATGTTGGAAAACTCTCGCACCCTCTTCTATCTAATAACCAACATTTTCCCTTTAAACGCCAAATCTTAATTCTAAGCTGGAACTTTCTACACTAAAACACTTCCATTTCACTCTGTAGCATCCATATGACATAGAATCTTCAAGAACCACGTTTGTCTTTCTCTACACACTATATATACATCATTCTTGTGCTTCTGTATACACCAAGTCGAAGACACAAACTCAACTAGTATTTATTGTCAACCTTCTTAATTCCCTAAGAACCAAAACAGAAAGAACATACACTTCCCATTATACAAATGAGGCCACAATCACTCAACATATTGCTTGTGCCATTTTTCTTGCTTTTTCTTGCTGATTTTCCTTCCAAAGCAAATGGGTCTCTGCTAACACTTATGGATCCTTCTAGTAGTCTCTTGTCTGATCTCTGGTCTGATCGGTTCCCTGACCCATTTCGTGTGCTGGAACAAATTCCATTTGGAGTTGACAAAGATGAACCATCCATGGCTCTGTCACCTGCTAGAGTAGACTGGAAGGAGACACCAGAGGGGCATGTTATAATGCTGGATGTGCCAGGGTTGAAAAAAGATGAGATAAAGATAGAAGTGGAAGAGAATAGGGTACTGAGAGTAAGTGGAGAAAGGAAGAAGGAGGAAGAGAAGAAAGAGGATCACTGGCATAGAGTGGAAAGATCATATGGCAAATTTTGGAGGCAGTTTAGGTTGCCAGAGAATGTTGACTTTGATTCTGTGAAGGCTAAGTTGGAGAATGGAGTGCTTACTTTGACACTGAACAAGTTGTCACCTGATAAGATTAAAGGTCCCAAGGTAGTGGCTATTGCTGGGGAGGATGAGCAACAAGCCAAGCTCAACATTGATGGTGCCAAACAGGAGCTTTGAATTTATGGTGAATGATCATAGAAAAAAAACAAAAAAACAAAACTGGTTTTTCTTTGTGTTTTAATTTGTGAATAAAAAGGTTTTCACCAGCACCTTTGGTTGTTTAGATGTAATGGGTTATTATTGATCTTTGTTAAAGATGAGTGTGTTATTTAGTGCTGTGTAGGCTTGATCTCTCCTAATAAATTCAGAGGTGTTTTCTTGTTCTATCATCTATGATATATATGTCTTCTTGTAATTTTATTTACTTTAAAATATGGCATGATATAAATATTTTTCAACAGATGTCAAGATCTTATTTATTTTGATTTTTCTTCTTGAAATGGATTTTTATTAGGTGAGTGTTACCTAAAGAACAAACAGGAATTTTATTTAATTTCGTTCAATCTTTAAAATGTTTATGTAAATTACAAGAAAAAATAAGGAAAAAAAAATGTGCTTGGGGTTTTTTTCTTTTGCTTCTACGTTACTTGTTTATTAATCTTGAGTTTTACAAAGTATTTAATTTATTCAGTCACGATGTGTCTTCATCTAATATGAAAAGCTTTTCGACTAATTTTTTTCTTTTAAATATACCAAATTGCTTTCAAATACAAGCGATGTCTGCAGGAATACAAACGTACATAATAAGGGACGAATATGTGTCCCGTAGAATTAAAAGTTTTATGACATATCTGTCATTAAATAACTTTAAATATTAAATACAATAATATAAATTTTCTTGTAGATATATTTGTATTATGCATTGTTTCATGAAGAAAAAAAAACATGTTTCCCATACCAAAGACGTAAAATTTATTGTAATCTTCACTGTATTATTCATTAATTACTTTTAGTCTCTTAACCATTCAATTAGAAAAACATTTTGTTCCTAATTATAAATTTCTATGGATGAACCAAACGCATTTTCTATTTTCTACTTTTTTTCCTTTTGTTGTCTGTTGTTATAATTAATTATATTCATAAAAACAGAACTGTAAAACCTTTGTAAAATATCAGCTTGATAATATTTTTAACTATTTTAAGAAAGAAATATACAAATAATCATTATAAATTAACTAAATGAGGGGGTTGAATAGGTTATAAATTATTTAACATGAAATTTAAATCATTAAAAAAGATTAAATCCTTCGTTGTTTGTTGTTATAATTATTTATAAAAAAGGAAATTTAAATCTTCATAAAATAACAGCTTAATAATATCTTTAACTAAGATGAAAACTTAATACCCTCAAAACTATTTAATGCGCATGTCTTTTCAATCTGTTCTTTCCTAATTCGATTATATTCCTCATTACCACTATAGGTTTTTTTTTTTGTTTTCTTTTTCTATCTTTCTTTTTCTTACTCAGCAATCAATAACTCACCATCTATTTGTGAATTATGAGTTTCATATTAGGAAAAAAAAATTCTCGATTTATGTGCAAAGTTTTTTTTTTTTTTTAATCTTTTTAATAAATATAAAATTTACTATTAATTGAATCACAACATGAAAATTCAATATCATACAACATGAGAAAATCAAACTCCTTTCTATTATATGTTAGTGTCATTTTCCTTACTAAATTAATGCTTTAGGGGAATTTAACATTTCTTTATTAGAAAAGTTCGTAATAAAAAACTTACTAGAAGATTGAAATAAAAAAATAATCAAAATCAAACCTACACTAAGGTTGCATTACATTTACCTAACTTTCATAGGTGAGCAAATGTGTTACATTTTCAAAACATAACACGTAAGGCATCAATTACTAATGATTTTACCATAAACCATTATAAAATGACTTATACAATACTGTTTTGAATCATTGATTGATTACATTACTATTACAAATATCCAAAGATTATGGGTCTGCTGTTCGGTTTAATTTTAATAAAATTGATGTTAAAAAACTAATATATGTTTGGAAACAATATTTTAAAAGTAAATTTGAAAAAATAATTTTTTATTTAAAATGATATAATCACTTGAAGAAATTAATTTATAAGTAAGTTTTTAAAAATTGTATAAATTGTGCACCTAAAATTAATTGTACTCAATGAAAAACTAAAATTAAAAAAATTACCTGCCTCAAAATTAATTTTATTCACGTTAAAAACATTATTTCTTACATCTAAAATTAACCAAACACAAACTCGTTTCTCCCGCTGCAAACTTCAGTTTGCATTTAGCCAAACAGGATATAAATTGATAACACAATTTTTTAATAAAAGGTTTGCGTTTAGTGTAAATAAAAAAAAAGAGCATGATTTATGGAGGAAGAGGCGGTAAAAAGAGTAAAGATACAGCAGTTAAAGGATGACAAAAATGTTACAAGCTATATATCATCGATATCGACACGGGAAATGTGACACGATACGATACGACACTCTAACACATTAATTTTAAAAAATATTAGATTTTGACACGTTAAGACACGTTTTGATATTAAATAATATTTTAATTTATGTCGTGTATATTATATTTAATATTCAATAATTTAACAAAAAATAAATCTAAACTTATAATATTCATAAATTTTGCAAAGAAACATAAGATATCTTAAATATTTATATTAAATTTAATAAAATGGTAATCACAATCCAACGAATCTAATAGTTGGAACTAAAACTTTAACTCAACGCAATCTTTGAACTTTTTTTTTTAATTTTTATAACGCGTGTTGAAATATTAAAAGTATCGAAGTGTCCAAAAATATTAGAAAGTGTGAAACATGACACATCGGGAATTTCGAAACCTGCACGCTAGGTAGTGTTTGGTTGGGAGAAATTTTTTTTTACTAGGGAAATGTAATTGATAGGGAAATGGTTGGAAAGTAAGTTTGGTAGGAAAATGAAAAAAAAGTTGTTTGGTTGACCGAAATATTACCAGGAAAATTTATTTAAATATGCAAAATCTATGTTCGAGAGAAACTTTGCACATGTTTTTTCACTTCCCCAGTTATCTCAAAATACCACATCTCAAGTGGTATTCTGTAACAGTGAATTTCATCCACAAATCAACACTAAAGTCATTTTTCCATATATCTTATTTGTCTAGTATTTTTTGAAAAAATCTAAACCAAACGTGATATTTTCTAATATCCAGTTAGAGTTTCCATCAATTCCAAAATAAACCTTCAAGCAAACAGTAACCGGAAGTGCTTCGTCACGCATTTGATGTAAGAGCAAGAATCAGCCACATTACATTGACGTGTACGTTTCTGTTTCTGTTTCTATTTCTCACTTTTCTTTTCCTTTTTATATTTCTCTCCCATTCTCTTTCTCTTTCTGTGTTATTCATTCTATTCTATCCATAACTGGTAAGTAACATCACACACAGAGAGAAAATGCATTAAATAAATAAAAAAATAAATTAAAATCAACACAAAACAGATCCGAAACCTCTTTCTTCTCATCATCTCACTCTTCCAAACCCAACAATCCCAATAAGCTAAAGTTACCAAATTTTCACTTAATTTCTACTCATGTCTCGATTCTTCTCTACATGGAAGAAGAAGAAGCTGCACCTCAATCAAATACTACCAACTCTTTCTTCTTCTTCTGTTACTTCACATACCCACTTTAGTCTTTCACCCCGTTATCATATTCATAGCCACGCCAGCTTCAACCACAGGTTCAGCTTCTGCCTAATCTCCACCCACTTGAAGAACCACCTCCATGCCACCGTCCAGCAACGCCACAAGTGGGACCACCCGAATTACGGGACCCGCAATATCCGGGTCGACCCGAAATGCTGCCCATGTTGCAAAACTGCTTATGAGGGTGTGAATGTTTGCCCAAATTGCAAAACTTCTATCACCCCTTTTAATAGTAGTAGCATTGCGCCTCTCCAAGGTGGTACCTTTTTGAAGATTGGGAATGATGTTGTTCATCATGAATCTCCAAGGAGGATCGATGGTCATGGTGGTGGTGGTGGTGGTGGTGGCAATTATGGTGTTAAAGTGTCACTATGGAACACTCTGAGACCATATAATGGTGGTGGTGGTGGTGGCAATAATAATGGTGAGCCACCAGAGGATTGGCCTCCTGCATCTGTTCATACACCTCCAGGTCCACCATTTGCACCTGGGGTTAATGTTATTCGGGCTTCTGGACCCTCCTTGGAAGAGAATACTACTTCCTGGGGAGGTTCCAATTTGGGTAGGGATTTGCCAACTCCAAAGGAGATTTGCAAGGGTCTTGACAAGTTTGTTATTGGCCAAGATAGGGCCAAAAAGGTATCATCCCACTTTTTTGTGTTCAGTTTTATGTTTAATGCTTTGTTTGGTGTTCTAATGATGTTTTTTTTTTTAATACTTATACACCTTCCTTCCCTTATGTTGTATGAGCAGTTGCAATGATTTATCACTGCTCCTTTTATGGTTCACTTGGGATGCAAAATGGGGAGAGGAACAGAAATTATTTATGTTTATAACATATATGTATCATGTATAGATTTATTCTTGATTTTCATTGTTTTTATTTCCTTTCACTACCTTTTGTGATTCCTGAAAGAAAAAGGGGGGCTTCGAATTATCTTTTTATTAGTCAGGGTGAATGCATTGCTCTAACTTGTGGCCTTTGACAGTTATCCCATTGATGGATTATGTTTGTGTTGAAGGTGCTTTCCGTTGCTGTTTATAACCACTATAAAAGAATATACCATGCTTCTTTACAGAAAGGGTTAGTTCTTTCACTGTCCTTTTCATTTTCTTAATTCCTATTGCTTGGTGGAACCATTACTGATGCTGCATTGCTGCTGAGCTCCAGACCTTGCCCCCTTTATTAGTTTCTTCTGTGTGCACATATAATTTGTAAAATTTCAATCTCATTGTTTATTCTGTTATGGCCATTGTTTTCTATCGCGGAATTGGCGGATTTTAATACTAGGTCAGGGGAAGATACAGGAATTTCAGAAGGAGTAGATGATGATGATCATGTGGAGCTAGAAAAGAGTAATGTTCTCTTGATGGGTCCAACAGGTTCAGGTATGACATTCAATAACTACTTTTTTCTCACTCTTACTTATAAAACGAGAAATAATTGCGTCTACATTGTTTGTTCTTTTCTTATCTTTATCTGAAATTTTTACATGAGGCTATGCTAATCTAAGTTCTATCAAATAGGGAAGACATTGCTTGCAAAAACACTAGCTCGATTTGTGAATGTTCCGTTTGTCATTGCTGATGCAACAACCCTAACACAGGCAAGTATGTTTTCATTGATGAGGCAAAGTTAGAATTTGGCAGCGTAAGAGTTGAGCAAGATCAAGTTACATGATAATGATCTATCCAAATTCTTGTGCCAAAGATATGAGTTTTCATATTCTTGAGTAATAAGATATTATGCTAAATGGAATACAATTTTTTCTTCCAAATGAAAAATCTGGGATTTGAACAGTATTAATTATTTCTAATTTGGTTCCATGTCTGACTCGAGGTGTCACAGTCCTATCCTATGATAAAAGTTTTGTTGTTATTGATCTAAATGAGAAAACGTTTTAATGTGCAGGCTGGTTATGTTGGAGAAGATGTTGAATCAATATTGTATAAACTACTTGCGGTATGTAAATTATTCTGTGTTGTCTAAACAAACCATCAATTCTTTGTTTTCTAGGAATGTGCCTTTTTTGACTTTCTAATGACCTGGCAATTTTCATCTTTATTTTTTTGTTTTGTTTGTTGTGCTTACTTGTGTTGTTGATGATGAATGGAAGTTCTAAGGGTAGAGCTTTTCACAGTTAAGGAATTTTCACTGCTTTGGAAGCTTAGATAAAATTGTAAAAGACAACCCAATTCCCTTAGCACCTTATATGAGCTGAAGACAGGACATATTTAGCTTGTAGCTTCATTAATTTTTTCATTTCTTTGTGCTCATACAATGCTCCATTTCTTTTGACTTGTGTTTTCAAGTCAACTTAGAACAATGCTAACTGGTTGACATATTATTCTCAGTGAATGCTGTTGTTTAGTTTAGGTTTTATGTTTTAATACATGATCTAGGTTGCTTATCTCTTTTGATGTTTATTGTTGTCAATTTCTTCCATTGTTGGTATTTTATAAGGAGGAGCATTTGGTTCTTCAATTTGAGTAACAATATGTTACGAACCAGCAAATAAGAACAGAGAAAACATATAGAAGATAAAAGAAAAAGGAACAAATTTATTATCGGTGACAGAAACACAATCAGGGAAAAGGAGAGAATTTTCCTTCCAAGGGTTTCCCTTTCACAAAGGGTTGCCCCTTTCACAACAGAGCCTTTGCTCGGTTCTCCATTCTAAATTTCCTGAATACTTTCCTTGTACCTTGCTTTTGCTATTTAAGGCCGAACACCTATGACTAACTACCTATCCCCTGAATATGTTTTAACAGTAACTAACTAAACAAACATCGAACTATCTAACTAACTCTGACCATGTTCCCATTTATTCTTCTTCGTCCTATCACAATAAGAGATAATAAAATGAACAAGTTTTGCTTGTTCTTTAAAAATATCCTTTTATCCTGTTGGGAGCCCCAACCTTGTAGTTTTGATCCTTGAGCATGTCCGCCTTCTCCAATGTGCATGGCATTTACTGTCACTGGTGTTTATCGTGCTTTCTCCACATTTTTTAAAGAATAACCTTTACAATGAGGCCATATTTGTTTCAGGTCTGATTTGTGTAGTGGTATTCCCTATATTTCATGCTCTTCCTTGTTTCTATAGTTATCCTCCTTACATGATGGTCCTGTTTCCAGATTGTTGGTCATGGATTGTTCCAAATTTTACATGGGTTTTCCTTGTTTTTCTCTTCTTGATAAGTGATAATGTAAATGATAAACAAGGTACTATACATTGGTCTGACTTCCCAAATAGGAGAATTTGGAATGCCTCTTTCTTGTACAGCTGTATTGTCTACATTAGGAAAGTTGGTCCTGACATGGTATCAAAGCTTATGACCAAATGGTCAGGATTTCAATTCTTTCCACCCTAATTCTTCCAGATAAAAGTTGAACTTCAGCACATTGTAAAAATGAGCTGGGGCATTTGTCCATGATTTATTCCCAAAGGATTCTTCAATGAGGGCACTTGTTAGAGATATAATAAAGCCATTGATGTATTTTCATCTAAGAGTTTAAGTTTTAACAGGAGTTTGTCCGGGACAATACTCTCTTCCCTTACATTAGTGTTTTTAGAATCTGAGGCCCCTATGCTGTGTTGGTTACAGCTTTTGTTAGGTTCTGTGATACATTGTCAGATTAATACATGATCTAAGACAAAAACCCCACAAACTTTTGTTCCTTGATGTTTGTTCTAACACGTATGGTAGTTTAGATTTTAGAGACTCAGAGTTGGTCATTTCTTAAAAAATATTTAAGTTAATAAAATAAAACTTTTAAAATATAAAAAAAATAAAAGAAAGCCTCTCAACATTTCCTGCTCTTGTAGGTTTATTAACTTCTGTTGGAACTATCCCAATTTCTTGTATACACAGAATAAAATTGCAGAAAACAATCAAACAATATTTAAACAAATGAAACAGGCTCTGGCACGCACTAGGAGTGCCTGTACATGTCTGCAAAGCTAATGATAGTTTAACTTCTGCTCTTCATCAACTGTGTCAAAGGATTTTCCATTGTCTTTTTCAAGATGTGTTTCTATACAAATGGGTTTACTAAAGTATTTTGGGCATATAATACTGGTTCATTCATATTACATTTGCTTTGTTTTCAACCTCTATGATGTTTGGAGTAATTTTCTTATGAACCTCTACTTATGCATAATTTTAGATGTTTTCTTTCATATTTGTTTTTAGATTTTTCAGAAGATATCTCACGCTGATTCTAGTTCTACTTGCCATCTCATTGTTATGCTTTTTATTTATTTCATATAGGCAGCAGAGTTCAACGTTCAAGCTGCTCAACAAGGGATTGTTTATATTGATGAAGTGGACAAGATTACTAAGAAGGTTTTTGGCTAATTTAATTGGGTAACTTTATAGATGCAAATCCACTATAGCTTTTAACTGTTATATATTACAGGCTGAGAGCTTAAATATTAGCCGGGATGTTTCTGGCGAGGGTGTTCAGCAGGCATTATTAAAAATGCTGGAAGGAACTGTAAGTACTGTAATTCCAAAACGCAGTGATTGAGAATTGGTTTGTGAGTACTTTGTATTTGAACTAATGAAGTGCTATGTGAACCTATTTATACTCTACTTTTATCCCATTAATAGCCCTTAAAACATAAGAAGGTAATACCTTGTAGAATCTGCAACTGAATTTTTCATTATGATAAGCAATTTCTTCACATTGGCTCTCATAGGCCATAGCAATTCCATTTTGAGCTTCTATTCCATTATATACACAAGGTTGTTTAAAATAGTATTGGTGCATTAATGTTATTGTCAATTATATTAAGTCAAAACAGTCTATTCTTTTGCTTGGTTGGATCTGAGTGCTGCTCTTTACAGAGATTATTCAGTGAGAGGATGTTGGCATGCTTTATAATTATTGGGCTTTGGTGACTGAGTAGAATAGTTCAAACATAAAATAGTGGTTTGGAGGTGAGTTGACACAATATTATTGGTCTTTAGGGATTATGAAGAGAAAATAAGAATTTGTTCCTTCTGCACCTTGCAGTGGATTACTTTATGATGCAGAAGTAAATGACGGTGCTCTCACTGTTCCTTCTGCACAAGTAACGCAAGCAAACAATAATGCAGAGCCCCCTTTCCCTTGATTGTTTTCCAAAGAACATGATTTTAAAATTGAAACTGATGTCATGGCAAAGAACGTAACAAGGTGTTTTGTTTGATTTCGTTTTCAATTTAATTGTGGTTCCAACTTCCAAGATTCTAAACTCTTGAATGTGCTTTCTGAGGCCTTTCCGGACCATCTTTGTTTAATGTACACTCGATTGGATTTCTTTACACGCTAAGGTTTCAATGTTATTGCTCTCGTAATCAGGAGTAGATAAAATTTCTGTAACATTACCTGTTTGTTCATGGAACATTGTCATTTTTTTTAACAAATCCATCAATTATTTCTGCTAGTGCCATTATTACAATATCCTGGACTTGGAATGATTTCTTATTTTCTAGGTAGTAAATGTTCCTGAGAAAGGAGCAAGGAAGCACCCGCGGGGTGATAACATACAGGTATGATGTTTTGGAAAGTGTAACATCTTTTGTCATTCGTTCTCATGATTATACTTTGATATGATTAAAAAAATTTCTCACCTAGTACTTTCCTCTTGGGGGCTGTCTTAAATCTTGAACAACAACAACATGACCTTTATTCCAAACTAGTTGAGGCCAGTAGTTGATGAACCTATATTAAAGCAAGAACAGATAAAGGAATTGGGTTCTTTTCATAAAAGTAGCTCTTTTTTACGACTAGCTCGTTATGCCTGATGCAACCCTCCTTTATTTTGACTTGGGACAGCGTGTGTAAACACACATTGGCAAAGTTTCTTGAATCCTGAAATGCTTTAGAAATATGCATTTATTATTTTGATTAATGAATCTTTTCTAAAGACCATACAATTACCTAATTGGTTGATGAAAATTAATGAATAGACACATTAGAGGCTATAGGCGTTTGGACTGATAGAGGATAATTAGGAGGGAGAAAATGTAAGATGGATTGCTCCTTCATGAACTCTTTTATCACTTAGTAAGTATTTGTCAACATTTTGTCTATGTCAGTCATCTCCAATCATCACCTAGCGTAGTATGAATATAATTCTAGAACCACTTAGTCATTAATATCTTAAATAATCTTCCATCCATTTTTAATGACATGCAGATTGACACAAAGAATATTCTTTTTATATGTGGTGGAGCGTTTGTTGATCTTGAAAAAACCATTTCAGAGAGGTAAGGGGTGTTTTTTTTTTTTTTTTCTCCCAAAAGCTTTCTCAAGAAGTTGCAAAAGACGAATAATCAATTTGTTTTTTCTCAAAATAAGTTAATCCAAACATGAACCAAATGTTTTTGGCATTTCTTAGAAGAATATTTGTTGACAGATGTTCTGCATTTGCTTGGTTTCTGCCAGATTTTCATCAAATTTTTATTATTTTTGAAACAAACCAGACGGCAAGATTCTTCTATTGGTTTTGGAGCACCAGTCCGTGCCAATATGAGAACTGGTGGAGTAACAAATGCTGGAGTCACATCATCTTTACTTGAGTCGGTGAGAATTGACTCTAATTATCTGACTTGAAAGTTTTATTCTCCTTCCCATAAACTACGTTATGGATAGATACATCAAAGCTAATAAATCAATGTACAAAAATAAATAAATATAGCTAATAAATCATGCACTTTAGCTATTATGATACTTTGCACTTCCCCCACTTCTCCAGCTAATAAAAACAGAAGTTAGAGAATGATATTATCATAGCCGATAACCTTCCAAATGCTTCTAAAAGTTGTATTAGTAATTTTCAGGTGGAAAGTGCTGATCTTATTGCATATGGTCTCATACCAGAGTTTATAGGACGATTTCCAATTTTAATTAGCTTGTCAGCTCTAACTGAAGACCAACTTATGCAGGTATTCTTTCATTGTTATATCTTCTTTGATTTTATTTTATCCTTTCCAGATTTCTCTAACGTATTAGTGCTCCGAGGTGTAATTCTGCTTGTCTTGTTGTTATGACAATAATTCTGTTTTGTCACCATTGACACTTATCTATGTATAAAGCCAATTCTAAAGGCAATTAAACCTCTATGAATATCTCTTATGGTATCAATAATTTTTTAACATCATATATTATATATTTTAAAAAGCTAAATGTGGATGTGGCCATTGCTTTTTGGATTTAATAAATGATATAAAGAATGATAAATGGCCGTCTGGCATGAGCAAACAATTGGTTCATATTTAGTTTATGGAATGGCAAAGGAACAAGAAATTTGGATTAGGATACAGCGATCCTAGAATGGATTCTGTAACTTAGGGTTATTGATTTTGTTATGATTTCTTTCTATGTACAAAAGGAGGATGTGAGCTTCTTTCAACTGGGCCTATAATTTGTCGTCCATCTATATATATATATATATATATATATATATATATATATATATTTTAATGAATAAGAAAGAAGTGTGGTTGGCATTGTGGATATCATCTGATGTATTTTAGATATGCTGCTTGCATGAGTGTATGTATTAGTTTAGAATTCTGATTTTCTGTCATGTGGAATACTTAATTTTAAATGAAAATGGGCAAGCCTCTTATAGAAAAGAGTTTAATTTCTAAATTTTGCTCTGATATCTGGTCATATGACTATTGAAATGTTGGTTTTACAGGTCCTCACAGAACCAAAAAATGCTCTTGCTAAGCAGTACAAAAAATTATTTAGCATGAATGATGTAAGCAGTTTCTCTCTCTCGCTCTCTCATATCTGATTGTGTGAGTGTCTCCATGCCCGAATTGTTGTGGTGTGAAAACCCGAACCCATGTTATCACTATATCCAGATCATCCCTGGTCAACTTAATTTGGCATTTGTAGATGCAAATCATTCAAACTTTAATTTGGTTGAAGTGATTTATTGACTGGCTGTCTGTGTAGACCTAATCTAATAATGATTCAGACTTAATATATCTTTTCTTTCAAATTATATAATTAATTACTTAGTTTCCCTCTCTTTATTTTCTCATGACACCTACCAACTAAAATTTTCTTCCTTCCCTTCATTTTTCTAACTTTTTCTTCTTACTTTGTTTCTCTGATGTTGACTGTAGCTTTTGAGTCATTGCATGGTGATACTTTTTACCATTCTGCATTGAAACACGACTTACAAATCTTCTCAAAACCTACCTTGGGTGATTTAGTTTTTTATGATTTTTGGCACCATTTGGTTATACACTTCTGGGTTTAATGATATATATCTTCTCAGAAGTGTACTATATATCATTAAACTAATTTAATAATACTATATAATTCAAAACTGTTCAGCTAGTTTCAGCCTCTTGTGTAACATCATTCCATGTTTCTTGTGCTACCCCTTCTATACTTCCTCCAATCTCAGTTATCTGAGTGTGTTTAATATTTATTACGGGTGCAAGTGATGGGGAGTGTGGGCAGTAACGGAGGACTACTTGTCTGAAATTTTACCCCTACTACTCTTTAGGTGAAGCTACACTTCACAGAGAAAGCTCTGAGACTGATTTCAAAGAAAGCAATGGCCAAAAATACTGGTGCTAGGGGTTTAAGAGCCTTACTGGAATGCGTTTTAACTGAAGCCATGTTTGAGGTATGGATAAGTCTTTTTACTATCTTCAAGTATCTATGACTATCCATTGGTCTCTTTGATTTTCTACTGATACATCAAATGCTTCTATGCACCAGATTCCAGATGTTAAGGCAGGAAATGAACTGATTGATGCAGTTGTTGTCGATGAGGAGTCCGTAGGATCATTAAATGCCCTAGGGTGTGGAGGAAAAATTCTTCATGGAGATGGCGCTTTGGAGCGGTACCTAGCTAAGATGGAGGATTCAGTGGTATGATAATTCATCTGAAAGCATGCTGGTTAATGCTTTAGATTTATTTTTCTGTTCTGGATGCTTGTCCAAGTTACATTGTGAAAACCCTGCTAATAAAGTATTTCATAATGGAAATGGTTTCATTCATTTGCAGCAGTTGTGAGCTATCAGAATGTGGTAATTGTTTTAACCCAATTTGTTTCATGCATTGTAGATTAACGGTGACGTAGCTGAATCAGACTTACAAGAGGGGGAACCAGAGATTTCATCAAGAGCCATGAGCATGTAATATTATATTTACTGTACTCAAGGTGTATAACTTATCATTGTCATTGTTATTTGTAAAAATCACATTCATAATTTGCTGTAATTATCCCTTGTATAACAGCATAGCTTCTCATTTAAGTTCATCGGGTAGGAAGGAAGTAGAAAAATGAAAGATGTAGCGTTGCTAATTTAGGCAGCACATCATACAAATTTTCAATTGGTTTTGAGGAAGGTCGAACTTTAGACAATTTTCTTTTGTTTCGCTGCCACACTGAGAATAAGGGAATCATTGATCAATATCTGAAAGCACTGACTGATAATGCCATATCATTATCCCCTCCCTCTTCTTTATTTGGTTTTACAGAGTACAGAAAACAACCCATAAAGATGAAAGAGAATTGAAAATGAAATTACCCATTCAAGTGTGAATATTCTGTACAATGGTGTCAATACATATAGTGAAAACAGAATAGTTATATCGAAATCTGATGTGGCAAAACAGAATAAAAACCAAAAAATAAAAATAATATAACTTAATAAAATATAGGCTAATACTCCCCGTTGAGATGAAGTGTGAATATTTAGAACACCCATATTGGATAGTAGCAAGGAAAAGAGCGAGGAATGCAGAGCTTTGGTAAGCAAATCAGCCAAATGGTGATTGGAGGAGACAGGGAAAGTGTGAATATGTCCCTTGGTAATATGCTCGTGAATAAGATGACAATTAATTTCAATGTTTGGTGCGCTCATGAAACACTGGATTAGTTGCAATATTGAGAGCAGCCTGGTTGTCACAGAAAAGATGTGTAGGAGCAGCATGTTCAATGTGAAGATCACGTAGCAATGAAAAAAGCCATAAAATTTCACAAGTAACATTGGCCATGGATCGGTATTCAGCTTTAGCAGAGGAGCGGGAAATGGTTTGTTGCTTTTTTGATTTCCAGGAGATTAGAGAATTTCCAATAAACACAACAAAACCTGAAACAAACCGCCTTGTATCCGGGCAAGAAGCCTAATCTAAATAAGAGAAGGCATTCAATTGAATTGAAGTAGAGGAGAAGAAAACCCTTTGACCAACAGATGATTTTATATATGTCAAAACACAATAGGCTGCCTGGAAATGAGGAAGCTTAGGAGCAGATAGAAATCGACTCAAATAGTTAATAGCAAAACACAAATCAAGGCGAGTGATAGTCAAATATAAAAGTCTGCCAATAAGTCTTCTATGGATAGTAGGTTCTTCTAAGGGCTCTCCTTCATGCAAAGAAAGCTTCAAATTTGGCTTATTGGCAGGACTGTATACTCACTGTGGTATATCTTATTAATAGAACTCTGATAAGAATCTTGGGATGCACCACCCCAAAAGCTAGTTCAAAGTATGAGAGTGCTTATGGCCTTATAAACCCCACATTAGTTTCTCATACAACCAATGTGAGACTTCAAGTTCCATACCTTGCAAATGAGTCCTAACATTCCACCACGCTCCGTAGGCCCGTCCCGTCGCCCACGCGGGCTAGCCTTGCACTAGTCTTTTACTAGTCTTGGGCGAACACTGCAATGCCGACGTCAGCACCTGCGTCGCCTGATTGCAATCGGGAGACATAGTGGAAGACTCTGATAACATTTGATAAGAGCCTTGGGATGCACCACCCCAAAAGTTAATAAACCCTACATTAGATGCCCATACAACCAATGTGGGAATCCAAGTCTCATACCTTACAAATGGGTCCTAACAAACTCCCTCCCCTGTTTTATCTCATCAAATACCCTTTTCCTTCTTGTGTTATAAATCTCCCTCTTACCTCACACTTGCATGTTTTTGGATGCCTATGATATAGTTCCACCCTTTCTAGGTCTAGACACAAGTTCGCATCTCGTGCTATCCCTGCTGTCTTCCTTGGTTATCCCCCAGGTTATAAAGGTTACAAGCTTTTAGATCTTCAGTCCAATTGTGTTTTTATATATAGATGTTGTTTTCTTTGAATCAATCTTTCCTTTTGCTTCCTCTTGTCCTCCTTCCACTCTTCTTCCTCCTTTCCCAATTTTTTCTCCTTCCCTTACTTTTCTTTCTCCCACAGTAACCCCTCCTTCCTTACGGCCTCGGAGACCTCGCTAGCCTTTTCCTCATCTTAAAGACTATGAATGCACTACATCAACCACCCATCCTTTTAAATTATGAGTGCTCTGATACCATTTTACAGAGTAGAGAAAACAACCCATAAAGATGAAAGAGAATTGAAAATGAAATTATCCATTCAAGTGTGAATATTCTGTACAATGGTGTCATACATATAGTGAAAACAGAAAAGTTGTTATAATGAAATCTGGTGTGACAAAAGAGAATAAAAACCAAAAAATAAAAGTAATACAATTTGATAAAATATATGCTAATATTTTATATGCTAATATTTGGTACAAGTTAATGTGTTAACAAATCAATCTAAATGAGTTGACTAACTTAAATGGGTTATGAAAAGTTCAGCCGTTTGTATATCCAAGATTTGATAAGCGCAGGATTGAGGTTCGGGATCCCATACTAACAGAAAAAAGGGTTTTTGAACAAAGAAATGTGAAATTCAAAAAAATTCACATGTTTAGTTCGTTGACCAAATATTTTACCGGACTAATACAAAAAAATATGTTTTAGGTGACTACGCATTTAGTCGCTTCTGACGCATGCGTGTTTCTAACTGTGATGCGACTATGTCGCGAAACGCGTGCCTGAACATGATGCGTCTTGGTATTGTACTATCAGATTTGTCAGAAACGCGTACCTAGTACAGATGTGTTCAGACGCGCACCAGGTACAAACATGTTCAGTTTTGTCAAAAAATGTGCACTTGGTACAGACGTGTTCAAACACGTACATGGTACAGATCTATTCAGATTTGTCAGAAATGAGCATGCATGTGTCAGGTGCGCGACTAAACGCGTAGCCATCTGAAACATGTCTTTCTACATTAGTCCGATAATGTAACACCCCGTTCTAGAACCGGTTTGTTAACATCGCATTATGATATTAAGCGCAGTTACAATCACATGGGTTCAATTAAAATCCGGTTAAATTTTTCATTTTAAAACATGCCGAATTTATAATGCCCAATTGCGTGATCATAACCATATTACTTTGCGGAATCAGATAAACCAAGCTTAACATCATGTTCTTATTCCATTTTTAAACCATTAATTTACTTCTTATTTATTTCCCAACTTCTAACATATTGTAGATCTCTTCGTTAGCTACGCGTGGTTTCAAACCGCTCCTCATTTGGAGCTCTGTAGCTCAAGTTATGACAATTTTACTAACTCAGGTGTATGCTGAAAAACTACGCGGGCAGGACGCTTAAGCGCGCTCCAGGGAGCTTAAGCGCCAACAGACAGAGGGAATTTACATTTTTTAGCCACCAAGGGCGCTTAAGCGCGCTCCAGGGCGCTTAAGCGCTCTACCTGGGCGCTTAAGCCCCCATTTTGGGCGTTAAAGCCCCAGGAGGCAGAAAGCTTTTGGTCTTCACAGGTGCATCAGGGCGCTTAAGCCCCCTCATGGGCGCTTAAGCCCCCTGAGCAGGCTTAAGCCTCCATTTGCAGGCTTAAGCCCCCTCTTCTGGGCAATTTCCTATACTCATATTTTTCATGTATCTTTCTTGAGGAATCAATCCTACACATTTTACAACCTATTTAACAAGCTTGCGATATCCCTATATCATTGCTTAACTCTCATCCTCTCATCATTGATTTAACGGAAATTGGGCAGCATAACCTTTGTTTTCTCAACGTTTCCCAATCTAACAGCTTAGCTCCTAATAGACAATTCAGCTCAACATTTCCAATATTCATCATGCATTCATAACCTTGAAGTAAATAACATTACACAAGTTTAATTACATAACGGGGAACTTAGCTACAAAAGGCTATGACCATCCCTTGGCTCTCATCAACAAAAGAGATATCTAATGGCATGATCATAGGCTAAGTCCATCAAATATAACGAGATATACATACGTCAATGCTATCAATGATCAATCCTATACATGTAAATCTACAAAATAACATGTATGATCTCAAAACATCATCTTCTTCATGCATGATCTACTGCAAATAAGGCCACTTGCCATCAGAGGCTCCTGCAGCTTCCTTACCTGAAAGGGGGTCCCCATAACACGGGATGAGATATACGAATATATCACAGTAAACCAGAGGTCCTTGGAGATCACTCCACCCTAAGGTTCACTTTCGATGTACACATAATCATAATAGCTTAACACATTCTTATCAGCAAGCATCACATGGACTTCCAAGAGAGATCCACTAAGGGCTGTTTCTCTTAGGCTCTTACCACATGGAGATCCACATAGGGCTGTTTACAAGGGAAGTCCTTTCCTCAATCTAGGAACCTCCAAGAGGGATCCACATAGGGCTGTTCCTCTTAGGCTCTAACCACATGGAGATCCACATAGGGCTGTTTCCAAGGGAAGTTCCTACCAATTATCCTCATCATAATACCATCACTCATAACCTCAATCACAATCCTCAACCCTTACCTCATTCATTATTGCTACTTCTATAACCATTCCTCGATTACTCTTAAACAATCAAACATCAACCAATAATCATCAATCAATCATAACATGTATCAATGCATGAGCATACAATTACTATCATAATTACATATCATATCTCATAAACCATTTCTCCTCAATGGAGTATGGTGGAACACTCAATGGGATCAACCCCAAGGTCCAAAGGTTTACCTTGCTCTTGAGCTTTCCTCAATTGCACACAACCCCAAGGGTTGGTCACCCCACTTGGTCCTCTTGCCTCAATCCTATCAACACAAGGAATACAATCAAACAATGCTAACAATGCAAGGAAATCCATAGTTCCAAGCCTAGATTTCTCCAAACATCAAAGCATACTAAAATAACACTATAAACTCATTTCTACCGATTAAATGTCATTCCTAGCATTTTTCATAATATACTCTAAGCCTCATTCTTCCTTGAACATAGCCAATCTACTCAACATTTCATAAAAACCCTAAAACACTATTCATTAACCCTAAACTCATGCAAATCTCCAAGAATCATGTGAAAGAGAGTGAAAACTTACCACCAATGATCACACAATAGAGGAATGAGTGTTCCTTAAGCTTCCATGGAGGTAGAAACTCCCAAAACTCCAAAATCTCCCAAAGGGCCGAATTTTTGAGAGGCAATATCCCTCTACACAATGCTCCCCACTCAGAACTAAGCTTGGATTATGAAAGAGGGCGAGATTCTAAGCGATTTAGGCGTTTGAATCACTCAAAACGGTCAAGGTTTCCTCCCTCCTCTCTTTCTTCTTCTCCCTCCCTTTCTTCTTCTTCTTCTCTGTTTGCTCGACGGGTTGGGTGGGAAAATGGGACTCTTTTAGTAGCTTTGGTCACTTAACTTAGGTTAAGTGGCTTATGTGGGTATTGGTTCATCTATCTATTCAACTTCATTAATTACCAAACTTTACCCAAAAGTCTGGAATATTATTCTAGGAATATTACTATTTTTATTTTTATATTTTGGGCACTTTTGCCTGTACCCATTTATACCCCTTAATTTTCAATGAGTACACTTTTTTAACTCCAAGTGACTCAGATTCATTTAATTAAGCCTTATACTTAATTTTACTCACTAAAACATGCTTGATTATTTAATTAAAATTAATCAATTAAATGCTTAAGTTTGGGGTATTATAGATAAAACATTTGGGTAACGAATTAAACAAGTTAATTTTTTTAAAATTCGCATTTTTTTGGGTCAAAAACCCAGAAAAAAAAATGAACTTAAAAATCTTGACAATGTTGTACGACATTCTGAGCAGCACACTTCTGTGCTTAAGTTTTTATTATATAGTATTATTAAATTGGTTTAATGATATAGATTCAATTTTTGTTATATATTATGTTTTAATTGGATTAGTATATAACTTAGAGAGTAGGTAACAATTTTTTTTCGTTTCTGGAGGTTAGAATTACAAGGACTCAATACGCAAATAAACAACAAAAATAAGTTGGTTATTATTCTTAAGCAGAAATAACACTTAGAAGTTTTTGCATGAAAGACTTATAAAAGGAAACTATCAAATGAGAGTGAATGAAGAGTCCAATTAAATTTGAAAGGAGAGTCTATTTGGCTTTATAGCTGGAAATGAATTCCTGAGCCTGTTTGGTAGTTGGAAGTGATGGAATTGCTCCCTTATTTGTTGTACAGATAGCTCCGCAGGCATTTGCAAGTGTCAAAGCCTCTCTCAGTTTTTGTTCGTTCTTCATATTGGATCCAATAATGCAAAACATGTCAACCAATGAGAAGTTAATAAAGCCTGGTCTTGAAAATTAATGTCACTGTGTGTGTGTGTGTGAGATAGAGAAAATACATCAAATATGGAAGGGTCCCTGGCCACAGCTGTGAGAAGTGCACCAACAAAAGAATCACCAGCACCAGTTGTATCAACTGCATTCACTGAGAATCCCGTTACCCTTCCTTTGAATTTCTGCAGTAAATGTATATACAAAGGTGTGTAGTTCAGATTACAGTACCACTACCACACCATGCAGCTCAAATGTGTACAAATAGATAAAAACAACCTTCACGAATGGGGATAACGTACAAATTGCAAGTCAAAAGTGAAACTAAACAGTAATGATCAAAAGTACAATCTCAGTTTCCCTAAGAAAATACTTTATTAAACTAATTTAGCCCAACATTCATTGTTTTCAAAACATGGATGGATAGTACCTTAGTAAAATATCTGCAACCCTTCTCTCCATCAGTGACAAAAAGCCCCTTCAATTTGTCATGCCACAGGGACATACAAACATCTTCCTTCTCTGCATCTCCTCCTTGTGTAAGAAATTCAACTTCGTTATCACTCACCTATATATATAGACAATGATCAGTTGTGTCACTTGCTAACAATGACATTTGCATGCCCTATGACTCAATTAAAGACCTAAATCGCCCTATTCTGTCATATCTTACCAGAAATAAATTTGTATAATAATAATAATAAAGAAAAAAAATGGTACCTTGATGAAGTCAGCATCAGACCAAATGCTCTTGATCCCAGACCTAGCAGCATCAGGAGAAGGCCACAAAGGGAGCCTCAGGTTTGGATCATAGGAAAGCAATGCACCACCTTCCCTAGCAGCTTTCATGGCTGCCAAGTGAGCTGATCTGCATGGCTCAGATATCAGGCTAATAGATCCATAATGGAATATCTTTGCCTTCTTGATCATACCAATATTTAATTCAGACTCCTTCAGTAACATATCTGCACTGGGGTTTCTATAAAACATGAACTCTCTCTCTCCATCCTTCCTCAATGTCACAAAAGCCAATGCAGTTCTTGCGTCCGTATCAAATATAACACCATCTGTGTTTACCCCATTTTTCTTCAATATGTCAGCTAGCATTCTTCCAAACTCATCATCTCCCACCTGTCACATTATATAATTATCACTTTTCAAGCGCGCGGGCACACATATATATAGGGATAAATATTTCTACAGCCACTTTAGATAAGGCTATCTAAAGTTACCCTTTATAACCATGTACTACCGGTAGTACATAGTTATAACATTAAAGTTATTTTTTTTTCCTCTTTCCAGTCACTTGATGACGTAGAGAGAAAGAAAAAAAAGTAAGTTTAACGTTATAACTATGTATTACCGATAGTACATAGTTATAAAAGATAGTTGTAGATAACCTTATTTAAAGTAGTAGCTGTAGAAATATTTTTTTCTATATATATAAATATATATTATATATTTTTATATATAAAAAATCATTTATCCTTTTAAAGGATGTAAGTTATATCCTTTAAATTTTTAACACTATGTACTACAGGTAGTACATAATTATAATATGAAAAGTTATTTTTTTTTTCTATTCTCAGTCACTTCAGCTGATGTGAAAAGTGAAAAGAAGTAACTTTTCATATTATAACTATATACTACCCATAGTACATAATGTCAAAAATTAAAAAGATGTAATTTATATCCTTTAAAAGAAAAAATGATAAACCATGTATATATGGCAAGGGAAATAATGAATAATCTCTAGTAATATAGGGAACTAATGCTTATGGAAGTTGAGAACCTTGCCAACAAAGGCAGCGTGACCACCAAGTTTGGATATGGCACAAGCAACATTAGCAGGGGCACCCCCAGGGGCTTTGATAAAAGCATAAGACTCAGCCAATGAAACCCCAGATGTGTCAGGAACAAAGTCTATGAGCATCTCACCGAATGATATCACCAATGGTTCTGCTGAGCCTGCCATCTTCTTCTTCCTCCTCTTCTCTTTCTCTTTCTCTTTCTGTTACTGCTTTTATTGTTGTTGATATCAAAATAATTTAAGGGTCAAAACTCAACCATGCAATAGGTGGCATATTCATAATTTAACGTTGGACTAGGAGCATATTGACCAAGCGAAAATTAATATTTACTAAACACGTGACACCACTTCAACAAAACTTACTTCACAATGCCTTGAGTGAATTAAGGCCTGTCATTTTGCATGGCCCATCATTTACTAATCCACTTCGCGATTTGTCTAATATTTACGAAAATATAATCATTTTGAACGAATTTATTGTAGTGAGTCGTGTTTCTAGTAAGCACTACAAGTCACGCCTGATGGAGGTGCCAATGGTGCAAAGTCGCGTCTCAACTAAGCACGACTTTGCACCATTCATGCGGTAAAGTCAATATTTTGATCATAAAATTTTAAAAGGCCATGACTTTTGATTCGGTTGTCTAAATCAAATGATTTTCTTTTATTCCAAATAATTTTTCAAGATTTACGCAATGACATCTCATTGAAGGGGATTCGGACAAAAAAATTTCCAATTTTTTTTTAATATAAGATATTTTACAGTAAAACTTGATAAGGCCATAACTTCAGAAGAGCACCTAATTTGGACACTCGAATCAAAAGTTATGGCCTACTGAATTTTTACGGAAAAATATCTTAAATTCGAAAAAAATTTGAAAACTTTTTTGTGCGAATCCCCTTCAATGAGATGTCATTACACAGATTTCAAAAAATTATGTGGAATAAAAAAAATACCTGATTCAGACAAACAAATCAAAAGTTACGGGCTTTCGAAGTTTTACAGTCAAAATATTGATTTTTTATGCCACGTGTCATCGTGTGTATGGTGCAAAGTAGTGTCTGTATGGAGCGCGACTTTGAACAGGTTGCGCCTGTGTGGGGCGCGTCCTTGCACATGAGTTGCGCCTACCTGGAGCGCGACTGACTGCTATAGATTCATAAATTGATTTCAAACTGTTATGTTTTCATAATTTTTTGTTTAAATAACAATATATTAATTTTTTTGCCTGCATCTCTCTCATCTTTGTTAATAATAATAAATTTATAATTCGGTGAATTAATAATATAATTATTTATTATGTGGGGACAAAAAAGAAGGAGACTAAAGAGCCAATTTTTTATAGGAAAAAATGATAAAAATGGTCAATCTGCTTAGGATTAGGAGTGGTTTTTTTTTTTTAAAAAAAAATATTTTTATTTACTTATCTAATTTTAAGTTACAGTACCAATACAAGTATGGATTGTATTATAGTACCCAAAGAATCATTTTATAGCCACGACTTAAATATAAGGAATTTACCAATAAATATGTAGGTGCAATAGAGAAACATATTCATATTTATTTGAACAAAAAGAAAAAGTTTGACAAAGTCAGGTTTAATATTTGCCATTTAGCGGAAAAGTTAACAAGCCAAAGAAAACAATTGTGCTTGACCCAAACTTGATGAGAAAACACCTAAAATCAAGACGCATGATTGATCCGAGAACGTATGCTTTTTTGTTGGGGAAAATAAAAACCACCACACAAACTTATCAACTGTTATTAGTTCCTTAGATTTGGGATCACACTCACCTCATTTCTGTGGGAAATGCATGCTATGTTTGAGGTCTCAAAATACGCTTTTGTGTGTGAGAAACTGAAGGTGATTGAGTTGCTTAGAACTTTAATCAAAGGAGACTCTTATGTAACTAACTTGTATGGTCTTCAATATTAATGAAAAGTTGAAACCAACCCATTGTTAACTGTGATTTCCTACTTATTTTAATTAGGGACAAAGGGAAATGGAGCAAGAGACACTAGAGAGAAAGAGACGAAAGAATAAAACCTTCAGCCACAAAAAACTAAATACCACTTCAAAGTCCTTTGTTATATCCAACTACAGAATATTATGTCTAATCAATTCACTAATAAAGTCCTCCATCTTCATTTATTTGGCAACTCTTGAAGGATTTATTCAAAATTATAGTGTTTGTCGACGCCAACAGACACATCCCAAGTGCAACTCATCCCTTTTGGAAACACAACCAAGTCACCAGCAGCAATTTCAACTGACTCATTTGCCCCACTAGGAGTAACCTTCACTTTTCCTTCCAAAAGATAGCAAGTCTCCTTGGCTTCATATGTCCATGGGAATTTGCTTGGAGGACAACCCCATCTGTTTTACATCAAAATGTGTATCAGATGCATTAGAAAGAAAAAAAAAACATTTATAGTTCAATTAAAAAGATAGCTACATTCTACCAGTTGGAAGAGAAACTAGCAAAGAATATTGAGTAAATTGATAAACAAAAACTAAAACAGAATTGGTCACCATTTTATACACCCCTCTTGATTATTAATCTCAAATTAAAAATGCCATCCATGATAATTTCCACAGTGCCCAGATATGTCATGAATTTGAGCTACCCATTGGGCCATAACTGATACTGAGTCTATATCTTTCACCAAGGAGATTTTGAACTACTGAATTACAAACAGGAAGCACATAAGTAAATTAAGGATACTGCACCAGTGAACATAGGTACTTGACATCACTTAGTTATAGAATCTCTGATTCAGTTGACAAGCCCAGGAAAACAGTTTGTGTAGGAACTATTCAAAAAACCTAATTACTTATTGTAAATCAAAGCTTACTAACAAACCATCATTATCATTGTTAACCATGTTGCACATTGAAAAGTTGCTAGCAAGTAGAAAATTTTAACTTTTATCCTCTCACTGTGGGGGAAATTTGATGGTACAAAATATCGGGTAAAAAGTGCTGCACTGAATTAAAATTACCACTATCAATTCCATCACCGCATCAGAGTTAACCACCACAAAATCCAATGACTCAAGCGTATCTTTGACAAATTGATGAGAAATAAAAATGCTGATTTTTGTTTCAGATAAATCCAAGTCCTTTAATGCATGCATACACATGTTTCAACGGAACCTAAACTCCAGTCTGGTTCCTTAAATATAGATTATTTCATGCTTACCTAATTTGTAAAATGGGTTAGTTTAGAACCTCACAAAATTGTCTTTCCAGTGATTTCCTCACATTCATATTACAAACAAATTAACAAAAACAACCTCAATCCCATGGCATAAGTTTAACTAGAGAGAAAAGGGGGAAAAAACCTAGGTACATAGCATGATTCAATCATAAAAAAATGATAAATTTTTTTTTTTTAAAACAAAAAATCCTAATCCAAACCCCACAAGCAAAAATGTAAGGAAAAAAAAAATCCCATTAGAATAATAGAAATCTCAACGGAAAAAAAGAAAAAGAAAAACAGGGAAACATGAAGAGGAAGATAATAAAGAAATGAACTTTTACTTGGGCCATTGCTTGACACCAAGTTGAGTGAGCTTGGATTCAGGAGGGTTCCTCTCAATCTTGATGCCATGTTTCTCTGTGACAGTGCTCATACTCTCTGCTCTTATTACTCTCCTCCTTGTTGAAGGAAAAGATACCCACGTAGTAGCACCTTTACTTGTAGTAGGAGTAACTGAGTGTTTGGTTTGTGAGAAAATAAGCGAGTTGTTGGGTGATAAAGTACCCACACAAGATGATGCCATTCCAACGAAGTGAAAAACTTTTTGGGCTTTGGTTTAGACTTAGAATCCTGCTTCTTAGTTAAAACTAGATTAATGGTCATGGTGGTGGGACAATAATGATATAAATTTATCTATTGTTATGGTTCACTCATTTCTCATCTTCTGCACTTTTCTAGATTAATCTAAACAAAAAAACAAAAAAATTATTTTAGGGGAAGGAAACTAAAAAGTGTTACATGGATACCATTTTTCCATGTACATATTCATCCTAGAGATAGAATATTTTTATTATCAATTTTTTTTCTATTATTTTATTATTATTTTAATCATAGTTAGATTTAAAAGTTGTTTTTCATTTTTTTTCATTTCATTCAACTTTTTCTCTAATCTAACAGTGATTAGAGTGATAATAAATAAAATTAATAGTAAAAATATCCCACGGAAAAATTACATCATATTTTGCAAGAAAAAAAAGTGTCTATAAGGGGAAGGAAAAATTTCAAGTCGGGATAATTTCTTAATTTATCAATTAATTTTACATTTTTTAGGCATGAGCTAATATAAGGGTCGGTTCGAATGGACTTATAAAAAAAGTATTTTTTATGTCTTATTTATTTTAGAAATATTTTTACAAAAATTAAAGCTATTTAGATTTTTGAAAAAATATTTGGATTTTGAAAAAATATTTCTTTTGACTTATATTTTTTTTAGAAGCTAAAATTTTTAATTTCTAAAAAGAAAATAGATTTTTAACTTTTTTATGATTTTTACTTTTTTTAAAAGTAAACATCTAAATGGATTTTGTAATAAAAATATTTTTTTTCCTGAAAAAAAACAATTTTTGATAAAAAAAGGAAATCATCCAAACGGGCCAAATGGCGATGAAGTTTCATCTTGAGAACAATAATACAGAGATGGAAATGCTTAAGGAGTGTTTATATAACTTACACGGTTTAGATCACAATTTTCAATCTGTTGTATTGTAATATAGTTTAATACTATCTTCAACTTAATATTGTTCGATTAAAAATGCATATGACAAAATTAAAAGAATATATTACTTATACGGACTTTTTACATATTTTTTTAATATCAATTGAATCTTATTTTAACTTTTATAAACAACTTAAAATATGATGGAGCATTTTTATATCCTAACAAGATCTAATACCAAAAATAAATAAATAAAAAACTTTAAATATTGCCCGTATTTATCTCGTATAACTAGAAGAACAAAAAAAATGGACCAAGTTGGCTTGACTCTTGTTATTGAATTCATTTTAAGTTTGATATAAAAAATTTGAGATAGAAGAAATTATGCTTTTGTAGTTTCTGTATTCTATTTTTAGAACTTTGAGCTATATATTTTACTCATCTAGAAGCTTGACAATGACATGTTTTGCCGGAATGGCATGTCTTTTTTGCCGGAATGGCATGTCTCGCGTTGTGATTGATTGCATTATTTAGATATAATCTAAAACAATGTTATTGGGAGCTACTTCATTTCATGTTTCAACCACCCCTTACAATTGGGTTATAAACTGAATCTTGATTAGTTTATGTAGTCTGCACATTCAACTTCTATCTGGTTAGTGCTAGATTGATGTAGTTACAAGCTGTTATTGAAGCTCAATCTAAAATGAAATGCATTTTCCTTATAAGTGCACATGATCACAGGGATATCACATAATATAAATGAACATAGTAAACCCTTTTACAAATAGTGGAGGGATATTCTTATTACTAAAATTTTTCATTATCAACTTATTACCTATCTAATCATTATTGAATCAGCCTTTTCTCTTTCTTCATAAATTTTTCAGCATTCTCTCTTTCTGATCAAATGGTAATTGTATAGGTAATAAGTTGGTAATGAAAAATTTTGATAGTAAGAATATTCCCCATCTTACAAATATGGCATCATTTATGTACTCAGTCCTTTGGCATTGGGACTGGCAAACGATATCGGAGGAATGCCTTGTTCATTGTTGAAAACATTGTTGGGATCAATCAGAGTCTTGGCCTTTACCAATCTGTCATAGTTACTCAGGAAGTACTTTTCACCCCAAACCCTTGCATAATCCACAGCATCTTTCATATTAGCAACATTGCTAATCAGCTTCATTACTCCAAGGTCAAAGTCCATGTAATTAATGTATGCAGCCCTTGGACCCCATGAAACAAAGGGAGTCATAGTAGCATAGAACCCTCTTATCCAATCAATATAACCACTGCTTTTATCATTGTCAGTTTCTTCCCAGTAGATCAGGTACTGAATTGTAAACAGGTTTCCTCTTCTGTGGGGAAAAGCAATGGATTCACTGCTTATATTATGCATCATCCCACCATAAGGGTCCAGAATGACATACCCTTTAGGCTCCTTTTCAAGGATGTCCAGTGCAGTTTTTATGCCCACAAGAGGAACATGGTTTTTCACAAAATCTGATTTGGCCTTGAAATATTGTTTATCTTGCATATACCTATTCTTCAAGTCAGAGACTGAGGCTCCATCACTTAGGCCAGAGAAGAAAACAATTGACTCAATCCAACTCATTTCTCTACAGTCTTCTTCTACAACACCCAATTCAGGAAAAGTCTGGTTTAGGATAGATAAGGCAGTGGCCCTAGGACCAAGATAAAACCCTTTAAATGTTCCTGATAAGCCTATAGTTTTAGCTTCAGGCAAACCAGCACCAACAAAGCATGACAAGTAGAAGTCACCTTCCAAGTAGGGTGCCACATATTGCCATTTGTGTACAAGCTTGGCAACATAACTTTTTGTGCCTGTTCTAGAGACAACGAAACTAGTTACAATTTGTGGCACTTCCAACACCTTGATTCTCCAAGCATAAACAATACCCCAAAGGCCACCCCCTCCTCCTCTAATAGCCCAAAACACATCTTCTCCCATTGTTTCACGGTCTAACAATTTTCCATTGGCATCAACAAGAAGGGCATCCACCACATTATCTGCTGCAAGTCCATATTTTCTAGACAACAAGCCAAATCCACCACCACCAATATGCCCTCCAACTCCTACAGTTGGACATGACCCAGCTGAGAATCCATGTTTATTGCTTGCCTGAGAGATTGCATAGTAAGTCTCTCCCAATGTTGCTCCACCTTCAACCCACGCTGTCTCTGTCTCCATATCCACCCAAACATGGTTTAAATTCATCATGTCAATAATGACAAAAATAGTCCCATCATCAGCAACATAGGAAGTCCCTTCATAGCTATGTCCACCACATCTTACTCTGATTTCCAAGGAGCCTTCTCTACAGCATGCAACACTTTTCTGTAGCTGCTCCAAACTCTCTGGCAGTATAATGGCTATTGGCTTAGGAACCACAGATTCTGCAAACCGAAGGTTTTGAATGGAAAAATTGAGAATTTTGAAGTAATTATAGGCAGAGGATTGATCATGTTCTTTGTAAGGGAAGGTGGTGAAGTTTTTGATGTTGTGATTATCCAAGCAAGAAGTGAAGTCTCTGAGTGAAGCAGATAAACTCACAGAAACATCAAAGGATAGCAAGAGGAAACATAGAAGGCATGAACTTTTGAGGAAGTTGAACATGGCTTAAGCTTGTGAGTGAGTGAGTGTGAGAAGCAAGGTGGTGTGTGATTGGTGCAGGACATGTTTAAGTTTATGGTCATTGGAGAATGACTTCAATCGTTTAAGATAAAAAATGGAAAAAACGTTACAAGCATGCATGTATGTTGTGGCCGGCCATAGTTTAACAATGGAAATTGAAAGGTTGGCTGAGTGAACTTGAACACTGCAATGGAATCAATCTCACATTGAAAGAAGACAAAAACAAAAGCACAATAACGTCACGAATACTTGGATCACTTACCAAACAAAATTAAAGTGTAGTTGCTTTGCCGAGCAGGTATTCGATCCTCCCTAGTATCATCTTTAAGAATGGTTCAAAGCCTTAATCCTGAGCCTGTCCCGAATCGGACTAGTCGCGAAGCATTGAACTGATAAAATATTTCAAAAAAAAAAAAATGTAGTAGCTTGATTGAGAAAGAGACTACATATGAGGATGCATAGCTAGCAGACATAAGAGTTTGCCGGCTGAGTTAAGAACATATATTGCCATGGCCTACTATGTATGCTCTTATCCAATTGATTTTTAATAATGTTAACTAAAATTGGTGTTATTTTCCGCTCTTGTTAACCAATGCATGACATAATGCACCTCTTGAGTTCTAAATTACGTCTAAGTTTCATCAATAAATTAATGCTATTTTTTGAAATCCTATGCAAAAGATTGTAAATTTTTCTTTACTTCATTTATCAATGCTTAAGGCTTGAGAATAATATAAATGACGAAAATGGGAATACGTGTAAGCAGTGTTTTAAAAACCGGCTCGGACCGGCCAGATTGACCCGAGTCTCGGTGATCCGGTGGGTTCTCCGGTCTGAGTGGTCATTTGAATCGGTTTGCAGTCAACTCGGTTCGAACCGGTGAACCCGGCCGAGACCCGGTGACCCGGGTTAGACCGTTTGATACTCTCTCTCTTTTTTTGGTAAATCTTTTTTTTTTTTTTTTGCTGAAAACTCTTGAATTAATTCATGTTCATATTTTGTGATAAATATGATTAAAAAGAGAGGTTAAAATAAGAAGATATTTTAGATTAGTGCAGTTCATTTATGTAATTTAGTTGCATTTTATAATGATCTCAAGAAGTTAAGTAGGGATAAACATTGATGGTCTCATCTCAACGGTGGACACTTTCTCGTTAGTATATATTTCATGCCTATCATTTGTTATCATGATTTAGTTTATCTGTGGTATGTCAAGGCACAGAAGGTGCATTTAGCTTACATTGCAATTTTAATTCAATGTTAGGATATGGTCTAGAGATAGAAGCCTAAAAATATATAATATTTGCTATTATTGAGAACCAATTTATTTTTTGAAGCTCATTGGTAGTTTTCTTATGTGAATTTTTAATATAAGTAATATGTTTATATTTTTTTAATATGTGAACAGTAAATCCGGTTGAACCCGGTTGAACCAATGACCCAGTACCTCGACCGAGTCGATGACCGGTTCGAGTTTTAAAACTATAAACATTCCTTAAAAAGGTTACCAATTATTTATATAAACAAATTATAATATTCCTCACCATGAAATTTAATTAATTGCATGTAATTAGACAATTAATCTTGTATTAGTGGGTTAAATTAGGTAAAATGTCTAATAAAGTGAATTGGGGTCACTTTTAAGGTAAAAAGTACATTTAGTGAAAATTATGGGGTAAAAATGGGTGTAGGCAAAAGTACCCAAAATATAAAAGTAAAAGTAGAAATATTTCTAGAAAAATATTTCAGACCTTTGGGTAAAGTTTGAAAGAGAACGGAGTTGAATAGATAGATGAACTCATACACGGTTAAAGTCACTTAACCTATGTTAAGTGACAAAACAAATGAAAACCCATCCATTTCCTTCATCTTCTTCGTGGGACGTCTGAGAGGAGAAGAGAAACCATCAAAGCTCCAAAAATCCTAACTTCTCTATTTCTCAACCAAATCTTTTGATTCTTGAACCAATCTTGCTTAGAATTGAGAGACAAACACAACCCCTAATCCATAATCTACCAAAAAACCTTGCATTGAGATAAAAAAAAGGTGGTAAAAGTGGTGACCTACTTGTGATTGAGGAGCTTTGAGAGTGATTTGTTTTGCTTGGAGGCTTGCAATCTCTTCCTTGCATGATTCTAGGTGAGTTCATGTTTAGATACAAGTTTTTCCATGATTTTTATGGTGATGGGTATGTTAGGGTTTTATTTGAGAAAATGTGTGAATGGTGGGATAGTTTAGAGTTTGATTGAAGCTTAAGCCCTTTGTAAAAGTTGTTAAGAATGATAAATAAATGGTAGAAATAGATTTAGATTGTCATTTGGTTGTTGTTCAATATATTGAAAAATTCATGCTTGGGGTTTGTGAGTTTTCTAGCATTTTGAGCAAATTATGAATTGGATGGTTGATAGTGTCCCTTGTGGTGATAGGATTAAACCTTGTGAACCAACATTGAAGGACCAATCATTGGAGGAAGCCATGGAGCTTGACTAGCTCATTGAAATTGGTAAGTTCATGCCATTGTGGTGTGAATAGGTTTGTTTGGTTGATGATAATATTGGTATTCATTGGATTGCCTTGATATATTATCTAGTACCTTGATGTAGGTATTGATTGTTGGTATTGTTGTAAAGCTTGGTTGATTGCTCATTGGTGGTGAACAAAGGTTAAGCTTTGAAGCTCATTGAGGTAAGCCTTTGGACCTTGGGTGTTAATCCCTTTATTGTTCCACCAAGCCCGGAATGGGTAGTGGTTGTTGATAGTGTGTGTAAACGCAATAAGGTAGTTTAATGCTTTGTTATACGTATGTGTATGCATTTTGTGTGGCATATGATGGTGTTTCCCTAGGTTTTGTATGTTGCATGACGATGCACAATTGGTAGTTTAGCTGGCCAGTAGGACTATTTTGCATCTAAGTATCCTTAGGACAACATGAGAGCTCGAGGGATGTCTCCTGGAGATGTTTTTACACACTGCATGGATGTGCATTTACTGCATTATTTATGATTATTGTTATTATACTACGAGTGAACTATGGGGTGGAAAAATGCTCCAAGGATCCCTGATTTACTGAGATGTATTCGTATATCTCACCTCGTGTTGTGGGGATCCCCTTTCAGGTACAAATGCTACAGGAACCTCTGGTGGCAAGTGGTCATACTTGGATTAGATTGATGCATGAGGATATTGCATCTTTTTGGTTATGCATGTCATTTTGTAGTTCCTATGTACAAGATTTACATTTGAAAGCCATTTGTTATATGTATGCCATGCTTTATTTTGGTGAACTAAGCCTATGCTCACCTCCTTTGGTGTCTCTTTTGTTGATGAGAGTCAAGGAATTGATCATAGTGTTTTGTAGCTAAGTCCCATGGTTAGGTATTGAAGACATTTAGAGATTGTGTAATATTGTGTTTATTGTATATATGATGGAAGGGCATAGATGCTTCTTTTGATAAATGTGTACCTTGAAAGAACTAAGAATCATGTATTGAAGTGGTTGTATGATGTCAATTAGGTGAAATAAGACCTTTAGGTTGAAAATCCATGTAAAAATAAAGATTTCATGTCTTGTTGCCCATTTTTCATATCCTATATGATTGATTTGGACCCTTGTGTCTTGATGGAAGTTGTAGATCTTTTTCTTAGCTTTCCAACGAGACCAAGATTGCATCAATCGGGTAAGTATAGCTCCAGATAGGGGTAAAATACTAAGGTTAGGTGTAATCTCCAGAACTTTGGCGCTCACCGCGCCAAGATACAGTGGAAAAGCGTATTCCCGTCGCTATTCGCGCCCTGTTAGCGCCGTTTGCGCCAGAAATCTGGGAACCTGTTGTTTCGTGGCGCTATTCGCGCCGGACCTAGTGAGTACAACACCCGTTTCTTAGAAAATTCATAACTTGGGCTACGGTGATCTTAATTGAGCGCGGTTTGAACCCACACGTAGGTAACGAAGGTATCTATAACATGTTGGAAGATGAGGACCATATATGTAGTATAAAAAATTTCAGGTAACTAAAAAGTGGAGGTGTTTAGTGTTGAATAACAATAAAAATGCTTTTTTAAGTCTTGTTGGTCTAAGGGGACTACTTGGCACACTATGGTAGCAACATATGGTCTAAATAATACTTACAATAGGTGGGCCACATATAGTTTAAGTTATGATCACATTTATGAGAATTGTTTTAATTACGAAATTGATTTTAAACAAAAACGTTTATAAATAAAAAGGAAAAAGTTTATCCGTACTTTAATTCAATGGTTGTGATTGTAACCGCGATTAATGCCGTACGTAATGTTAACAAACCGGTTCTAGAACGGGGTGTTACACAAATAACTTTGACTGTTACTTATAATTTATAAATATAAAAATGTTTTTATTATAGGAAAAGTGTGTGTGATTTTAAAAGATGTAAAATTATATCACTTTAAGAGAGAGAAATAGATAGATCATAGAAGAGAGAGAGTGGACAAAAAAAATAAAGGTATGAATTTGTAAGAATGAAATGATACAAGTTGCATTATTTAAAGGGTTCGCTTTTTCTACAGTCAATGTATCTACATTGAGCCCAAAACGACGTCGTTTTGATGCGGAGATCAATGTATTTTTATAATTATAATTTATTTCAAGATTATAATAGTCTTTTTCATTATATTTTTTAATTTTTCAACCCAAAACGATATCGTTTTAGCAGCAAATGTAGATAACTTATCTACATTCACTTTAGAAACATTAAAGCCTTATTTAAAAAAACAAACATTTTTTCCTTTTAAATTTTATTATATAAAAATGTTGTTCACCTTATTTATGAAACAAGAAAAAGTTAGTTTTCATTTTTAAAAAGTAATTAAAATATTAGCAAATGTAAATAAAATAAAATAATGTATTTAACAAACATTATAGGTAATTCTCAACGTTGAAAAATGAGGATTAAAATTGAAGGCAAAAATAATGTGAAAACGAGGTACATAAACTGAAATCATTTGCTAGAATAGAATAGATGGAAAATAATGTACCTCATTAGAAAAAAGAGAGTAAATAATGTACCAATAAAAAAACGGATGCAAATTATAAAAGTAAAAATATCGTTATCATGCCATGTAAAAGAGAACCCTAATCCTAAAACGTTTGCTTCTCTGCTTACAGTAGCATGATTTTGACAGTAAATAAAATCTAATTGTCAATATTCATAGGTTGGATAAGAGGCCACACAAAATTGCGTGGTTTAGACATTACCCACACGCCAATGCTACCCTTTATCATTGGCATCTTTCTAGAAAAACCCGCCCACTTCAGTATCGAGTTAGGCCATAGTTACCCCATAAATAAAAAAGGTATGAAAATGGTGGCATATCATTTTTCAATTGATTAAGAGAGATGATACAGAATATGAATTCGTAAAATTGGGATCGAGAACATAGAGCAAAGATAGAAGAAAAGATTTTAAGTCCATAAAAAAGGTATCTTATCTGATGGCACAATAATGCAAAACCAAGGGTCACAGCCACTACGAACTAGACAATAGGTGGTTTATATCACCCGTGAAATCTTTCGACGATAATAACACTTGGAGAAGTCAAATTTTATTCCCAACAAAACTACGTGTTCTAATGGTATATTCTAATCAGATGTCATGTTATAAATTGTTTTATATCACGAATAAAGTGCCACGACAGAAGGGCACAAGGATGTAACTTCAAAGTGTAAAAGATACACATTCATAGTAATACCAATGAAACACGCAATTTACAAAAATGCTGAACAGGTTTATCACTTTAAAATGTGAATTTTTTTGGTACACAAACAATCCTAGACTGCTTCAAAATGAATCATGTTATGGGCAAGGGAAAAATCAAATTTGGCATCTATCATATAATTTAGATTTTTCTATCACAACCTTGCATTTTTCATCTCTTTTTCTTACCTGCAAAAAAGTTGAGCCATAATCAGTCATAATATGAAACATCCTGGAAAGATGATATTATGATCTTGAATTAAAGGTCCATAAGAAGCTCATTTTATACTGGTCAGACATGACATATTAAGGGCTTGTTTTCAGAGTACATTATGATAGGAAACAGTGTGTGCACCGGAGCATATGAACCAAATTTAGAAGAGAAGTAACACCCATATGACAACTTAACATGCACCAAATCTAAACCTTCTGAACAGAAATATTCAAGTCATAGAAAGTTACTCCAAACATTTGGAACCTATAGTGAACTGAAGAAGGCATTCATGACATGCTGTATATTTTTGGTCTAGAAAAGTGCGATGTATCTCTAACTTCAATTAGGTCAGTGAGATAAGTTTTAAGACTAAATTCATATCTGAAGAAAAATCATATACAGTTAATGCAAGTTTGGGCTACGGGAAAATATGGATGGACATTCATTGCGCCACACATGTAATCCTAATCCAGTTAGGATTTAGGAAGGTGGAGAGCTGGGGAAGAAACCAAAGAGGGAAAGAACAATCAAGCCAGGTCAAACCTATACAGCTATGGTAATAATAGGTACTTAAGCTTATCGACAGTCTCAAAAGGCTAATAAATAATAATTCGTTTTTCTATTTATTAAATAGCTTCAGCAAATAGTGAAGAAATGAATATTAAAATGTAATTTTTTCATCAGGCCCCAGCCAAAAAGCTAATGGTCACTTCCATTTGGAAAATTTTATAGGAATAGATCATGCATGATGCCCAACTATAACTGTTATAAATGAAAAATATTATAGACAGAAACATAATAATAATAATAATAATAATAAAGCACATCTTCCATGCACGAACTAGGGACTTCCGATGAAATAAACTAAATAAGAAGTATAACATGAAGAATTACCTCAACCTGTGGACTTTTTCCTCGAAGCAACATATCTACACTTTTGTCAGTCTGCAAAAGAAAAACATGAAATAAACAAGTTAAAACCAACTCACATTAAGTAACCTCCCTTGCCTTTTAATTTCAGGCCCAAACAATTCTGCTTGAGTAACTTGTCAGCAATGAAGACAAACGATCAATACAACATCAACACTAATTCGTGATGCAGGAGATTCCAATCACACAATGAGCTTTGAACCAATGACATAAATACATCCTTTTAGTGGCCCAATATTGATGACTCTCTATTCTAGCAGTACCTTTTCCTTCATGAATAAATATATTAATATAAACCATTCACGTGTTTTTACCTAACAGCTTGTGAGATAGTTGATTCATGACATGGTATCAAAGCTCCTATGATTAAATGGTTTAAAGTTCGATCCTTGTCATCCTCATTGTTCAAATAAAAAATTGAAATTCAGAACAAGATAGGTGAGTCTATACATTATCTACGCTTCAAGTCCAAGAGCTCTTGCATGAAGAGGCAAGTTAGAAATGTTAATATAAAATCACTCATATGCCTTCATGTAATAGCTTAAGCTACTGGAATAGTTGGTTTATAACAAGTGCAATTACTGTGTTATAGGGAATACACATTCAACTGGCAGGATAATATGACAGGTTATTTTGAAAAGAAGGTACAATGAATAACAAAAATGATTTTATACAAACTAGTATTAACAGAGAAACTTTTGAAAAAATTGTTTAAAAGCAAGAGTGTGAAATAACTTGTCACTATAATGTAGAAGAATACATGTTATCTGGCAAACAATTGGTGGGTAGTCCGGTTGTACCAGTTGAAGATATAAAAGGAAGGACTGAACCCGTTTTGCTCTTCTGGATAAATCACTCGCGCAACATTTTTACAGTACTAGGGATAGGTTTCTATCTTCACATATGCACCAGCTGCTTCTAGAACCTGAATTGCTAAGATTTATTGTATATGTAGACGTCTGTATCTGTCTGATAAATAAACTAAACATTATACCAAAGACTAGTACTTCGAAGTGCTTACATGACACTAGCATGACAATCGATCGTAAAAGAAACTGAGAGTTCCCCTATTAGAGGGTGTTTGAAATATGCCTATATTTTCACTTTTTGTATGTTAGATAAAGTCCTAGATAGCAGCAATTATCTCCTTACCGAACACTGAAAATTCAAGAATATTTGGTACGACTAAAACAAATCATTGTAATATACATGCATGGTATTACCCAAGAATGTTGAGATCTCATTATGCTGCTTTACAAACGTTAGCATGCAAGAGACGAGGGTATCTTATTTACAAGTGTTAAAATACTGGTGTGCCAAACACTTAATTATTATTAAGGTCAAAACCTTATTCATGTGTAGATGACTAGTTGTTATGTCCAAATACTTCCGGTTGAAATTAAGTTATCAAAAGAAAGCCAAAAAGGAACACGGAAACCTATTGGTCACTTTCCTAAGCTGAATGGACCTTAAAATAGGATATTCTAAGATGGACTATCAAAAAGTAAAATTAGAACCAAGTTTTAACTTCGGATGGCACTTAATAACCACTATATTTTTATTTATTTACTTATCAACTGATTGAATTCAGCGATTTACAAGATAGGGATTTCCCATGACTACAGTAATACATGCTCAATTAACACACCTGATGTGTAATCCAGTAGTGTCTGTCTCTCATCTCAATCAAGAAATCAAATGTTGGAGGAGCTTTCCTTTCAAGAATTGTCTTCTGACAATTTCTTGCTCTGGCTTCTGCATCTCCCAGAGTAACAGTTTCTATTCCGCCAATCTGGTAAAGCAAATGGAGGTGGACATTGAATATTACAGCTGATTAGATTGCATGATGACTCACAGTTGCACAAATCAAGCATCTCTTTAACATCAAAGTATTCATTGATTCAACATGTATTTCAATTGAATGAGATAATTTTTCAGGATACTTTTGAAATGCTGATAAGGGGGCGGACCAGTGCAGTGGTAACACTGTTCCTTCATGACTGAAAGGTCATGGGTTCGAATCCAGGAAACAGCCTCTTTGCAATTATGTAAGAGTAAGGCTGCGTACAAGGATTGCTTCCACGCCACACTCGCTAGTCGGGTTTAATGGGGAGTGGTTTTTTTTTTTTTTTTTTACTTTTGAAATGCTGATGAAAACTCTATTACTCCATAAAATAAGATTCTGTTTAAGCCTCTTCTAAATAGCATCATTTTCAACATTGTGTCTCAGCAAGGGGAACATAAAGCAAGCTTAGAAGAGGCAGTTATACGTGTTGTCTTACAGTATGTATTACTACTATTGGCCACATTAGTGCAGTGCATAATAGAATTCAGTGCAACTTTCATCTACCATACATATCATGCACAATAATCTAATAATTGCATGTTTTCCCCCCTCAAAGCTTGCAGGTTATTATAACAATGCTCACCAAAATTTTAAAATTAAATTCATCAAGGAAATAGCTCGCCTAAATCAGAGCAAATAAGTGTGTTATCATTAAACTTTTTCTTTGAAGGCCTTTTGACACACAAGAAAGCAACAAGTTCACTTTGGAACCACATAAAACCAATACAGCTCAAGTTTACATCCAAGAAAGTGATAGGAAGTCCAAAATGATGGTCAGATAAATGACTCAACGAAGCTAGAGAGCTCAACTTCTTATAAAGGGAGCAAAAACTAAAAAGTCTTTGATGTTATTGACACAATCATATAAAAATCAAAACAAACCAGATCAGAGAGTATCGGATTCTTCATGATATTCTCAAGCAGCTGTCCATGAGCAGTCCCAATAAGCATGATGCCTCGCTCAGCAATTGACCGGCAAGCATGAGCTTCAGCTTCTGTGCCAATCTCATCCACTATAATCACCTCAGGCATGTGATTTTCTACTGCCTCAATCATCACTCTGTGTTGCAGTGATGGCTCAGGTACCTGCATTCTTCGCGCACCTCCTATTGCTGCATGTGGAATATTGCCATCGCCTCCAATTTCATTGCTGGTATCAACAACTACCTACCCAATTTGCAAGAATTTATTATATAATGAGTTGATCTACAAAAAAACTTCGAGGAAGGAAAAATGCTGTGAGATGCTAAAAAAATTAGCATACCACTCTTTTGTGAAATTCGTCAGACAAGACACGAGCAATCTCTCGCATAACAGTAGTCTTGCCAACCCCAGGCCTGAGAGAATCCAAATTATAGAAGATCCAACAAAAAGAAAAAAGAATACATTATCAAATCTTCTTAGAGAAATTGTGCACTGTGAATATATGGGTTGGACATGCTATTACGCTGTTGGATTGGGAAATCATTCAACACACCACGATAAGTGAGTTTTACCATTTATTAGATTTTCCATGACAAAATTTCAAAATACCCTCCAAATGAATGAATTAGATTACATATTACAATCAACAGACTCAAAAACATCAAATCCACCAAGTATTTTACATTAAAAAAATACCAAATGTCATTATATTTAGACCAAAATTGAGGATAAAGATCATATCAGAATTATTTCTTATATAAGATAATGAATAAAACTGATTTCTTTTCATGGGGCCTGTTAGCACTTCAAATGTTGATAACCTGCAACTTATCTTAAAATATCAGTAAGAATCACTTAACAAAAGTTACATGGCATGAATAGTGTGTCATACCTTCCAACAAATAAAATGCTCTTCCCATATTGAAGCAGATCATATATCATATCAATCTGGCCACTGACCGCCCTCCCAACTCGACATGTCAAACCAACTATGCTACCTCTCCTACTCCTTATTGCAGATATTCTGTGCAATGTACCCTCAATGCCAGCTCTATTGTCCCTCCCAAATTCTCCAACAGCTTGTTGAGCATATTCCAACTCTTTCACTGTTACCTAACTAAAACATTTCTCTAGAGATGAGATCACATAAACCCTCCAAGGTAATTTTTTGATTTTTCAAATTTGATTCTTATTATAAATGAGAAGGCATAGAAAACTAATCTCTTTCGTTTATTTAGCGCAAAAATATTTTAGGTCAGGTAAGCAGTGCACGTTATAAAAAAGAAGTTATATATCAAATCAATATACAAAAAATAAAATAAAAAATACAAGCATGGGAAATAGGAATTGAAACCTTGAGCGATTGAAAAGTGCATGGTTACCTCAGTGTCCCTTAAATGTTGGCCTCCATGTTTGCCAAGATAACGAGCTTCTGGAAAACGACCCAAGTCCAATATAACCTAATGGATAATGAAGGTTCAGTATATAATAACGGTGAAGGGTGATAAACACACAAGAATTTATCCACATCAAGTACAACTATAGCAATGAGAATGGTACAAGTGAAGTTTTCAAGTTCAATTCAACCAACCACCTCGAATCGAATGCGTAGTTAGAGGATAAGATATTTGCAATAAATTTTTAATAAAAAAAGTTAGGAATGAAAAATGAGACCTCTAAAAGAAGAGGCCTGTTAGGTTGATTGAGGAGATTGTGATGCAAATCAGATGGAAGGATCTGGAAAAGAAGACAAAAGTGTGAGTCAGAGAGCAATGAATGGAAAAGGAAGAGGTAACAGCACAACTCACACCTGACATATATACATACATACCTGTAACAGAGCTTGGAGATCGTCGTTGTGCACAGCGGAACAGTGTGGCTGAATCTGAATCCGATGACATTTCAATTTGAATGTGGTCATTCTCAGCCTCAGCCTCAGTGGTGTTGCCTTCAAATGCCATGAACACGATGTCGCAACTTCCATTTTCCTTTCTTCCCTTATCCTCCTCCCCCTTTTTTATTTTTTTAACAAAAATATCTATGAATTTTTTAAAAAAAAAAAAAAAAAAAAAAACAAGAATCATGCTATGTTAATATTATTATTATTTTTTATTCAAAAAAAATTATTATTATTATTTTAGAAGGGTGCGTCACTATTATTTTTTTATTTTTTTGGACAAATGTGTTACTATTATTTTGATATGAAGATTCAACTGTTTAACCGTCGTTGTGCCTTACCAATAATTTGTAATTGTTTTTTTACGATGGCGAAAGAATTGATATATTGTATTTTAAATAAAAAATTATGAATTTATGGCTATTTTGAAAGTAATTACATATTTATTGCACCATATCACACTCAATTTGGACGTCACCAATCACGTCTAATTTAGGCGTAATTAAAGAGGCAGTCACGTCTAATTTAGGTGTCATTTATCATGTGTTGACACGTGTCACATTTTTCATTTTCAAAAAAAAAAAAAAGTTAACAATTTAATCGTAAAACTTATAAAAGTTATAACTTTTAACTCGGGTATCCGAATCAGGTAATTTTTTTTTTTATTCCACATAACCGTGATCTACGCAATGACACTTCATTTGACATATTTTATCTCTCACAAACACAATTTGAATTTGCAACAACGAGACTTTATCTTAGAAGTCATGGTCTGAAATTAATGATGACAATTTATACAGATACGAAAATAAGAACTCTATTTCCAAAAAAAAAAAAAAAAGAACTCCTACCTTCATTATTATTCTATTTATATTTAATGATTCGTACAAATTATATTACTTATCAATTTTATTGATCTTTTTCCTATTTTTATTATGTTCTCTTATTTTTTTTTTTAATAATTTAACACACTATTGGGATTTGGAAGTTTAATCAAATATAATTTTTTTTTTAAATTATATTATCGTATTGTTTGGGGGCATGCTATTGTCAAATTACTTTTCTTTCTATTTTATATTAAATTACATTGTCTCCCGTTGTTATAGAAATAAATAAGGAAAATGTTATAATTACTACCTTTTTTTATTACTTGTTACTACTAAATTTTAACCGTTAATTTTCGTCAATCTAACGATTATAATTTATTGGGTCACACTTATTAATTAATTATTAGTAATTAATTTACTGGGTCACAATCTAACGATTATAAGATAAAGTCTCATTGTTGCAAATTCAAATTATGTTTGTGAGAGATAAAATATGTCAAATGAGGTGTCATTAAGTAGATCTCGAAAACTTATGTGGAATAAAAAAATACCTGATTCGGATACCCGAGTCAAAAGTTATGGCATTCATAAGTTTTACGATTAAATTGTTAAAAAAAATTTGGGAAAAAATGTGACACGTGTCAACACCGGATGGGTGACGCTTAAATTAGGCGTGACTTCTTCTTTAATGACGCCTAAATTAGGAGTAATTGGTGATGTCCAAATTGGACGTGATATAATGCAATAAATGTGTAATTATTTTCAAAACAGCCATAAATTCATAATTTTTTATTTGAAAAACAATAAATTAATTTATTTGCCTACGATACATATCATAATTTGTCACGTATAACACATAAAAAGGTCGATGAAATTTATTTATTTATTTTTTCTCTTTTTTTCTTAATGAATTTCACTTATATATTTTTATTTTTATTTTGATAAACATTTCACTTATATTTTTATATATGCAATATGAGAAACAATATCCCCATATTTTATATTAAGGTTTTTCTACTAAAATTGTCACATCTTTTTTTAATTTTTTTTAACTAAACTACTTCAATTTATTTTTATGATTTTCATTTGTCTCTTCATTTTCTTGTTTTCTATTTTTTTTTTAAACAAATGTGTATTGGTTTTTAATAGATTAAAAAATACATACTTTATAGCATATGCTAATCTTAATTACGAAAAAAATATGCATCAATAAATATCCTTGAAGTATTATTCATTTGCTCAATTATAAATTTTAAAAAAAAATTAATCTTAATATAATAAATTATAACAAAGAGCATATAATAATATTTTTATATGCATAATATTGATATAAAATCTGTTAAATTTTTATAAATGTACAAAATTTAATACAGTAAATGAAGATCTTACTCATTATATGATAGGATGAACTTTAACTGAAATTTTTTTAAAGAGGCTAAATTATTTCATTGAATGAGATAATAAGTTTTCTCATGAAACTATTAAAAAGTAATGGAATATTAATGTTAAAAGTTAATTAAACAGATATTAAAATGTTAATTATTTAAGTTTTTTTTTAAAATACAATGAAAACTAAAGCAACATCAATAAAAGCCCCATACTGGGCACAATCTTGGGAGACTAACTCCCTCAAGTAATTACGAAGCAATTCCAAACAAGCCGTTGGAGGGACATCCAGCACAATCAGTTGTCCATCCTGATGAGGTGCATGAGTAGCAAGCCAATCAGCAACAAAATTGCCTTCTCTATAAGTATGACTAAGCTGAATAATCCAGTCTCTTTGAAGCATGCTACGAGCTCGGATGATTAAAGCATAAAAAAGATGACTTACGTCACACCCTTTTCTTATAAATTCCAAAGCCACCTTAGAGTCACCCTCCACAAAGACTCTCTTAAATCCCTTATGCCAAGCCAGATCCATACCTGTCAAGAACCCCCAAATTTTCGCTGAAGTAGAAGTACCACTCCCAAGGAATTTTGTAAAACCAGTTAACCAGTTCCCAGCAGCATCCCTTATGACTCCACCACATTCAGTCTTTTGCCCACTGTCTATGCTGGAATCATCCACATTAAGTTCAACATAACCCTCAGAGGGAAAATTCTAGTGAATAAGACGTTCCTCTCTTCTAAGCTCCTGATGACCAATCTTAATAAGGGTTTCATTAGCCAATTGAATATTACCACAAGTGTAGGTAATGCGCCTAATGAGACCATACTTCGATGTGCTAGTTTGATTAAAGATCGCCTTATTTCTTTCCCCCCACAAACACCAAGCTATCACCCCAAAATACAAAGGTCAAGTTCGACCAGTTTGAAACGGACCTTTTAATCCTAGATTTGTCTGAATCCATAGGTGAAGATCAATGGAGAAAAAGTCATTACGGTTATCAGAAGGAACCCAATGCTCCCATAATTCCCTAGCCCCAAGACAATCTCTAATGGCATGTAAACTATCCTCAAGATTATAATGACATCTCAGACACGCTGCATCTGTAGCCATGTGACGATGCACTCTACGAACATTAGTTAAATGAGAAACTCTGTAGAGAAGCCATAAGAATTGTCTAATACGTTCAGGACTAGGCCAAGCCCAAATTACCTTCCAAATCCTATCATGATGATAATGTGAGGTACCCATGAGATAGTTATAAGCTGATTTTACTGAAAAAACCCCATCTTGGCTACCTGCCCAAATAACACGGTCTGGAGAAGGATCCACTGTAGGAGGGAGCACACTACGAATCTTCTCTAATACTGAAGTAGGAAGAAGGTGCTGGAATAAAGGTCAGCCCCAATTACCATAACAAGTTACAAATTGAGACGTAAACCAATGAGTCATAATATGAGGAATAGGTTGAACGGCCAGAGAAACAAGTTAAGGACATCCTGGCACCCACGAATCCATCCAAAAAGACGTATGAACCCCATCACCTAAAATGATACGAGAATTCTCTAGAGTTTGAGACCAATATTTAACAATAGTCTTCCATAAACCAGAATCATTTGCTGAAGCCGAGATATTTGGAATGAGCCTCTCCTCCACCTTATACTTGCTACGAAGGACCCGAACCCATAACGAATTACGATCAGTCATGATACGGTGACCTAGTTTCATGATAAAAGTCATATTATTCTCTTTAATTTTACGAAAACCAAGCCCCCTACATTCTTCGGCAAACAGACCGTATTCCAAGAAATCAGGTGAGCTTTCCTTCGTTCAGAAGTTGATCCCCAAATGAAATTCCTAGTGACACTCTTAATACGATCACGCGTACCACTAGGAATAATACAAGTTTGCATAGGATATTGAGGAATTGCAGTAAGAACTGACCTAGCCAAAGTTGATCTTCCTGCCAAGGAAAGAGTACGTTGATTCCAGGCATTTAAACGAGCTTGCATCCGATTTAAGATATAGCCAAACATACTCTTTGTAACATGGTTATGACGAAGAGGAATACCCAAGTATCTACCCAAGTCATTTGTAGGAGAGTAGCCCATCAACTGGCTTAGATTCTGCACTCGGGTATGATTAACGTTTCTGGAGAAGAAGACTTTTGTTTTTTCCTTGCTAACCTTCTCACCAGAGCACCTGCAAAAACAATCAAGAATCTTATAAATAATAACAACTTGCCCTTCTGTGGCTTCTGTAAAGAGCCGAAGATCATCTGCAAAAAATAGATGGGAAAGCAGTGGTCCCCTTCTATTCAATCTGATAGGCTTCCAAACGTCCTCCTGAACTGCTACATTAATCAAATGAGCAAGTCTTTCCGTGCAAAGGATGAAAAGATAAGGAGACAAAGGATCTCCCTGACGAAGACCTTGATTAGGAGAAAATTTTGTCGTAATTGATCCATTCCATAACAAATTCATTGTACATGACGAGACACAACACATGATCAGAGAAATAATATTCTCAGGCAAACCAACATCCACAAGCGTGTCTTTCAGAAACTCCCAAGAAATATTGTCGTAAGCCTTTTCTAAATCAACTTTGACAGTCATCCAACCCTTACCTCCTCTCTTTTTATTCATGGAATGGATGATTTCCTGAGCCACAATGATATTATCCGCTCCTTGTCTACCCTTAATAAAACCACATTGATTAGGCATAACCAAGTGAGCCATATGAGATTTCAGCCTATTAGCCACAATCTTAGTTACCGTCTTGTAAATAACATTACAAAGGCTATAGGTCTGAAATCCTTAAGTAATTCAGGCACATCAATCTTCAGGATCAGACA